CCTAACTATTATTTTAAATTTTATTTTCGATTTTTATCAGATTTTTATCTCCTAAATATTATTTTTTGATTTTTTTTATCAAATTTGTATCTCATAAATATTATTTTAATTATTATTATCGATTTTCATCAAATTCTTCTAGATATTATTTATAATAATTTGATTTTTGATTTTTACAGAAAATGGTAAATAAATCTGATTTTCATCCGTAGCGGATTTTGTGACATCGTTTTACTGAATGTCTGCAACATTTGAATTTTATTTCTTCCCTACCTAAGGCTTCTTCTTTTGGTAACCCGACTTTAGATTTTGTTTCTTATATTCTTCTTCATCCTATTGACTGTGTGGCAATTAGTTTACATTTTTTTCCATCATGGCTTATAGGTAATTTCATTTTGTTAACTTATGTGTTTCATTAATTTATACCAAAGTTTTCAAATTTTATGTATAACAATTATTTCATTTTATATGTTATTGGACATGTTATTGAAAGGGATGATTTGAGAAAATTAACCAAAAATGGGCGGAACCACAAGCTATTGGAAGTCGACCTTCAAGACTTATTGTTTGTATGCGTTATTTAATTTATTGTTTATATTTATTTTTGTTTCTTAATTTTCCAATTGTTAATTCCAGTGGCAAAACAACCTTAAAATGAGGCAGTGGAGAAGGGCTTAGTTCCGATGCAAGATGTATAGATGGCCTTTTACGATGGTATGTTGTCGATAGTTTAGTTTTGATTATGTTAACTTAGTTATTAAATCTAATTACTTTAAAGCTCAACATGAAAGACATAATTGATGATTTTTTTTCTGGTACAAATTTTCAATCTACTGGTATTAGCTGATTCAATTCATTTGGAAAATTATTCAACAGTAAAGTTATGTCCTTTTTTTTTGTGTGTAGTATACTTAATAATGTTCCAGTATAATAGAATTTTGATCATACGATACATCAAACGTTTGTTTATATTCTTACAACATCAAAACAATGCAATTTGTTGTCCCGTGCATCGCACGGGTACAATTACTAGTATGTATAACAAAAGAAGATTTGGGGGCTTTTTCCAAAAAAATTAATTGCCATGCCATGCATGCATGCGTAAAATTAAGAAACTACGTACCAAATATAATTCACGTAGAATAATTGTGGTTGTTGGAAATAGAATCTATGCCAAAAAAGAAACAAAAAATCGAAAGCAAAATCTACTACTCAAGTTGATGGTTCTCATTCCAAAAATATTGGTCATGCTGCCTAAGATACAAAATCATACCTAAAAATAGATAATCAAAATTCGTCTATATATACACTGAATTACTATCATCAAATATCAAATTAAATACGTACTCGAAAAAAAGTAGAAAATATCGAATATCGAAGAAAAGATCGAAGAGATGTCGGGAGAGAGAGATGAAGAAGCTGGTTGGGAGCGTCCACATATGGTTGCCGACGCACAAGTTGGAGGACGAGCCATCTTCTTACTTAGTTTGATGCAGGTAATTACTTATATAAAAAAAATTAAAAAAATATTCCATCAATATATATTTATATTCAATAATTGTACAAAAAAAATTATTTATTATTTATATGAATCAGGTGATTGTGGCATGTGTGACAATGGGTGTGGAGATCTCACTGATAATGGGAGTAAGTGGGCCGAAGCATCGAACAAGTTTGTTGTGGGTGTCGCCGTTCACATCAATTATCTCGTTGTGTTTGGTTTTGTGTCGTTATCGAGTTGACAATAACCCGATGATGATGTGGATTGGTTATGCTATGACGGTTGGCTTCTCTGTGCTGCACATGGCTAGCAGCTCGTTCCACTTGCTGAAGGCGCTCAACGGTTGGAAATTGAAATTTTTTTAATCAACTATCCGCTTATTTACGCCGTATGCATCTTGGTTTCTGTCATTATCAGCCTCTCTTATTTGGTAGAAGGCGGCTAGGATTTACTCAACGATCGGCCATCTTTTGTTATGCATGCTACCGTTATTTTTCGTTTTCACTTTTCAATTTCGTTTATGTTTTTTCTCTTGGTTGAATTTTAGTTTTATTTTTCTCTTCATTATATTGAATTTTAGTCTTATTTTTCTCTTTATTATATTGAATTTTAGTCTTATTTTTCTCTTTATTGAATTTTATTCTTACATTCCATCTAATTTATTTACGCGTTTCTATTATGAGAAATTAAATAAACTTTTTCCAACCATTATAATTACATCTACACACAATATAAATAGATCGATACGTAGTATAAAATAAATAATATAGACGTGACAAAATAAATCGGATACGTATACAACAAACTATATACAAATTAATAATAACAAGTACAAGAATTGCTTGGAAATAATGATATAAAAAAATAAACAAAAATATTGGAGCAGAGTTCAATAATGAAATAATGTCTTTGGCCTCTTCACTCTGTTCTTCTATTTTTCTTCTCTGTCTGTATGTATGTATCTATATATGTATGTATAGATCGCCACAAACGAGGAAAATGCAATTCATTAAATCGGTTCGTATTTCCATCAGTATTAGTGTTAATATTAGTATTTAAGTGTGCCTCATTTAATGGAGTTTTAGGTTAAACAAGCGTCAGCTCACCTAGAACACCGACCTGAGGTCATAGTGTAACACCTTATTGCTTGATCTCAAATCGTCGTTCGACGTAAGAGTGAAAAGACGTTTTTCTCCTTACTAGGATTTCATTTCATATGCCTTTTTAATAGAACCGGACGTTTTCCCAATTGTGTCAATGCCTATTCCCTGAACTAAAAGAAAATTCCGTGAAAATACACTATAAGAGGTTGGTGTAAAACGAAAACAAACCTCACAAGATTTTTGATAATTACAAATAGATCGGGATTCTCTAAACTAAATTCATTTTTCATATGATTAAAATTTTCATCCCAACTTTTGGAATTCTGATTCCGTTTCAGAGATTTTTTGTGTTGAAAACTGAATCAAACATTGGATTTCAATTTATGATCAAATTTTAAATTTCGACCGATTCCACCGGTTTATTCGAAAACTACATTAAAAAAATCTATATATAATATATAAAAAAATATGTAGTCTCAATCAATAACATGACAATTTTTGCTAATATATAATATAAATAAGATGAATATTTTCTTGACAATTACAAAATCTAACATGTAGGGATATATAAAGGATCGAATGAAAAAAAATAAAAAAAATACACCTAATTATATATACTAAATTGAATTAGATCTAGTGAATGTAAGACAATGAAGATAAGATGTAAATACTATTGGGATACCACCAATTGAAGATGATTATCATGATGAGGTGTAATTACTGCAGGTATGCTTCGTTATCTTGAATACGGTCGAAAATGGCGTTGGCTTCGATATGGTCGAATAATAACCTGACTAACATGTTCCGACTCCACGCGCGCACGCAGCTTTGGCACCCACTATGGAGTAAAACCATCATAATAACTTTTTCGACGATCAGAATAAAACAAACCGTGGCCATAACAACTGCAGCGACATCCATAGGAAGAACCTCCGGTTTTTTAAATTTTTTTACGAGAAAAGTCATAGAGCAAGCGAGAAATATCGACCCGATGAAAACCACAATCCGGATGTCCATATAAATGTAATACTCGTTCATCAACTCTTTCTTTGTATCTGAATCTGCAGTACGTACACATAAAACATCAAATTTATATATACATATTATTGTAGTGTACGTACTGTACTTGGTGCATCCATGCATGTTTAACGATCACCAATATTAATCACCACTGAGTTTGCTCTATTTGCTGTTGAGGTATCTGTGTACGAATGAAGAATATATTAAGTAATATGGTAAATGGTATATAGCTAGCCATGATGAGTTATAACTAGTAGATATAGTTAAATTGAATTAATTACCGTGAGACGAGCGATGTCGTCTAGTTTGGAGAATCTCGTCGCGATAGACAGTGCCGTATAATAAGCTGACGAGTGTGTTCCGACTCCATGCGCTCAAGATATCAAAACGTCCAATATGTAGCAAATACGTAAAATAAGCTTTTCCGACTCCCTGAATAACACTAATCGCGGCCAACACGGTTCCGAGGGCAAGCACATAAGCATATAGTTTGTTGAATAATATTAGTCCATACACCGAAGTCGAAACAATTAGCATTGAGATCAAAAATTCCCAAAACATGCCATACAGCATATGCCAATTCTCTTTCATTAACTTCCCTTTAGCTTTTGAATCTGCACCATCAACATAAATACCTTTCAATAATTAATTATTAATCATTTTTTAATTTAATTTAATTAATTATCGATTAACGACTTACCAGTCACAAGCGAGGAGGAGATTGGCCTTGTTATTGTAAGGTTCTGGTTTCCCGCCATTGTGTGTGCAGTACTGCGTATATATATATATATATATATATATATATATATATATATATATATATATATATATATATATACTAGTTATGCACACCGCGCAAGGCGCGGTGGCGGTGCCCAAGTGGGTGGTGGCGATTAACATGGATATTTTGTGCTTTGCTTTAAAATGGAGTCGTGCAAAAGGTCGACGATGAAATCGTGCGATTACTGATAGTAGGAGAAGAGTTGTTGAGTCAATACAAAACCGAAAAACCACAATAGGAAAACACACAAATAAAGAGTGGCATTTGATGTGGTGTAAAGCCGGCTGTGCATTGCCCCCTGTTTTCTTCCCTTTAATTTTCAGTAGCGCAAAAGTATTTTCCCGTAACGATACTACAATCTGCACAAATACATGGACAATCTAGTCTGCATAAACACATGGACAATCTATAAGAGCCACATATAAGCATTCTTATATACAATTGTTGATTAAACAAATTAATATAATATACCAAATAGCCCATCAATTGATTGTCAAAACAACAAATCATATAGATTACCAAGAGCATGGAAGCATAATTGAGCACAAATTCGTTCTCCTATGATTCCCTCTTGTAGGTAACAGAAAACACAAATTACACAAATATCGAACCTCTCGGAAGTTGCACGTCCATGTCTATGGATGGAAGGACTGGCTGTCAACTTCCGTGCACCATAAACTAAAATCGGAAGAACTACGGTTTCGAAGAAATAATTGTAATTAAAAAAGAGCATAAAAGAAACGAAAAGACAAACAGCGGTAAAGCAAAAACAAAACAACAGAGATAAAGAAAATGATTCTCACAGGGCAATGGCTAAATTGTTGGGCTCAGGATCTTAAAGAAAAGGGAAACAACTTCCAATCCAAAATTTGTGTACCTCTCATCCTACGGTTTTTGGCCGTATAGACTGATCATGAGAAGGGAGATTAGCACAATAACCGAAAAACATGTCAGTAGCAACATCAAAGAGTAACTTCTCGCCAGCTAGTGAATCAACATTGGTGAGAATGCCTTCGGCAATTAAATTAGCGATGTACATGAATAAATGCACCTAATAGCCATATTAAACTATCGATTCAAACATGGAGATAAACATAAACATGAACTTACCAATAATATTAATATTCTTTTGTAATTAGAAATAACAGAAATAATAAAAGTAATTACAGTGAAAGAGGTCTAAGACTAAAAATAACTGCAGACCACGAAGTCCATAGCCTACAAAATGCCATAATAGTATTCGAACAATCACCAGGGGAACAAATTTGGACAAACATCTCGCATAAAGAAGCATACGATTTTTATTGATGTTGAAGTTTTAAATATTTCAGAAGCTTAGTAAGCACCGTAAGATTCTGCTCCAAAACCTAAGGTAGACCAAATGCATATAAGAATTAGAAAGTTGACATGTAATATTTACCACACATAATTCAAACCTCAACTTTGGGATGGTAGGCAATACGGTGACTCGATGAAGCCCTCCTCATAAGGTGCTCGGCACAACAATCGATAAAAAAAATCTTGCTCCCCTCGCATGGTAATTGTGGTAAAGAAAATTAACTACGAAAAATTACCTGTCATTTTGTTCCTTTCTCTATCTTTGTTATTCTTTGCTTTGATTTTTCTTCTTCCTTTTTCGTTGCAACAATGGTGAAACCTGAAGCCCAAAAAGAGCGGACAAGAATTGAATTAGATACTGCCTAACTATTTTCTTCATACACATGAAGCTTTTTCTTTTTTTTTTTGCAAAATCATTATACACGAACAAAAAGGATTTCTACAAGCAATTAACCAAAAATCTGAATAACAAAATTTAGAGAAAACAATAAATTCAAACAAATAAAAAAAATTATATATAAGATGAGAAACTCCGAAAATAAAGAACTGAAATATTACATCACACAAAGGTAATGGAAAAATCAAGACCTTGGAGAAGTGCAGCGGAGGCGGCGAGAAGCAAGGCAACAAAGAAAATAAATCCAGTTCAGAATAAACTTTATAAGATGAGATCAAGAGGCTCTTGCGAAGCAGCAGATGAAGAGTACTGCACGGCGGCCGCCATTGATGATGAACCTTGGTCGTCTTCAGCTTGGGTTTCTTGCACGGCCGCCGCTGACGAAGTTTCGTCGGGAATCGGTGGAGTATCGACGGGATGGTAATTAGCGTATTCGAACTCGAACCGGATCGAAACCCTGGTAGGGTTTGGGGATGTAGATTTGGTCCATGTGCAGGGGAATCATTCCGGCGGCGGCGGCGATAGGAAGATTGTTGGGAGAGATTAAGGCAGCCTTGGCGGCGGCGGCGGCGAGCTTCTTCTGATGGGCGGCGAGCTTCTTTTTGATTGTGGAGTTCCAGAAATTCTTCACCTCGTTATCTGTTCTTCCAGGGAGGTGTTTTTCAGACGTACTTCCCAACAAGATGATGGCGGAGCGGCGGTCAGCAATTGCGGCGGTAGAAGGAAGAGAGGAGAAAGGGGGAAAAAATCGAGATTAAAAGAAAAGGGAAAAGATATAGCAGGCAGCTTGATTTAATCGACGCCGTTTTGTGAATAAACGGGCCAAAAGAAAAGAGAAAAGAATTTTGGGGGGCGGAAGAGGGGGCGATGCACATATATATATACTTAAAATATATATATATATATATATATATATATATATATATATATATATATTGGCACATATTTTTCCTTTTGGTACGTATTTATATTTAATTATCAAAAAAACAATTTTAATTTATGCATGATAATAATATCAATTCTTACCATATAAAATAGTGAAATATGTGTTGTACCTTTCCAAAAAAAATTAATTGCCATGCCATACATGCATGCGTAAAATTAAGAAACTACGTACCAAATATAATTCACGTAGAATAATTGTGGTTGTTGGAAATAGAATCTATGCCAAAAAGGAAACAAAAATTCGAAAGCAGAATCTACTACTCAAGTTGATGGTTCTCATTCCAAAAATATTGGTCATGCTGCCTAAGATACAAAATCATACCTAAAAATAGATAATCAAAATTCGTCTATATATACACTGAATTACTATCATCAATCAAATTAAATACGCACTAAAAAAAAGTAGAAAATATCGAAAAAAAAAAAGGAGGAGTAAAGATCGATCGAAGAGATGGCGGGAGAGGGACGAGACGAAGAAGCGGGTTGGGAGCGTCCACATATGGTTGAAATGGCGGGTTGGGAGCGTCCACATATGGTTGAAATGGCGAGTTGGGAGCATCCACATATGGTTGAAATGGCGGGTTGGGAGCATCCACATATGGTTGAAGAGATGGCGGGAGAGGGAGATGAAGAAGCTGGTGGGGAGCGTACACAGATGGCTGAAGAGACAACGGGAGAGGGAGATGAAGAAGCTGGTTGGGAGCGTCCACAGATGGTTGCCGGAGCACAAGTCGGAGGACGAGCCATGTTCTTACTTAGTTTGTTGCAGGTAATTACTTATCAAAAATAAAATAAAAAATTCCATCGATATATATTTATATTCAATAATTTTGTAAAAAAAAAATATTTATTATTTATATGAATCATCAGGTGATTGTGGCATGTGTGACAATGGGTGTGGAGATCTTATTGGTAATGGGAGTAGGTGGGGCAAAGCATCGAACAAGTTTGTTGTGGGTGGCGCCGTTCACATCAACTATCTCGGTGTGTTTGGTTTTGTGTCGTTATCGAGTTGACAATAACCCGATGATGACGTGGTTTGGTTATGCTATGACGGTTGGCTTCTCTGTGCTGCACATAGTAAGCAGCACGTTCCACTTGCTGAACGCGCTCAACAGTTGGAAATTGAAGAATTTTTTAATCAACTATCCGCTTATTTACGCCGTATGCGTCTTGGTTTCTGTCATTATCAACCTTTCTTGTTTGGTAGAACGCGGCTAGGATTATTAACTCAACGATCGGCCATCTGCATGTTGTTATGCGTGCTACCGTTTTTTTTCGTTTTCAGTACTTTTCAATTTCGTTTATGTTTTTCTCTTGATTGAGTTTTAGTTTCATAGTTTTTCTCTTGATTGAATTTAAGTCTTTTATTTTTCTCTTGATTGAATTTTGGTCTTATTTTTCCCTCGATTGAATTTTAGTCTTACATTCCATCTAATTTATTTACGCCTTTCCATGTATTATGAGAAATTAAATAAACTTTTTCCAATATAATTACATCTACACACAATATAAATCGATCGATATATACTTTCTCTCTCTTATGATAATGTGGAAATACTTATTTTGCACATATTTAACACTCAATTTAATTTAAAAAATATATAATAAAAGGGACTCACATTCTTGGTTGCATATATAAATTAAAAGATATTACATATAAAAAGGGAGATTTTTTTTTTTTTATATATGCATTAAGCTAAGTTCCAAGAATGGATTTGTACTTGTGCTGCTATTACATACAACCAGAAAAGTTCACAGCAACAATTGCTTATCTACTAACCAAACAAGCCCTTAGCGGAAAGCATGGTCATAATCATGGTAGCGGAAAGTTTTGTAGATGAAGTGCGACAGCCATTTCGAAGCCACAAAACACAACACAGCCGCCGAAAACAGAGCGTATCTTGCAGCAACAGAGATAACACCCTGTTTGGCAGCTGCAACTATTCCAATTGCAAAAACTGAAAAAACTTGCAGCACAATCTCAAGCACGTTGAGACGTTTATGTGCAACACTGCAGCTGCTACAATTCACCGTATGCGACCAGTACCTAACAACATTTCAAAAAAATCGAAAAAATTATATTTCATCTTTTTTTTTATCCATAGTTTCTTGAATTCTAGCACAACAAGTGATTTTAGGTGTTTTATACGATGGGATTTTATTTACGTACCTGTCAAATGGCTGCTCTCTATGAGGAGTGGGGGGTAATAGTCCGGTAAATTTAGTTCCCCAATCAACTTTAGTACCTCCGTATTTATTTAACCACCTTCTAAAGGCTAAAACGAGTGCATCTGCCTTCGTTGGGACAAAGCAAGATTTCTGCCAGTTGATAGACCCAACTTCCATCAGCTTCCGTTCCTAAAAAGAGAAATAATTTTTTAAAATACCTGAATTTCGTACACATCTATTGAAAGCACAATATGTAAAGTTATGTAACAATAAAAAAATAATGAGCTTTAAGTTCACCTCTACGTGAAGAAGATAGAGATCGGAATCAAGAATCAAGTTCTGTCCAATATGAAATATCCAACGTGGAAAAATCCGTTCAATCCAGACAGCAAAGTTTCTAGGCGAAACAAAGATCAATCTGCTATTACCAGGACTAACTGGAACACAGTAGAAAATAAGAAGCGCTCTTTTCTGGGGTGGAATAGGTGATACTACCTCCTGCACGAGAGAAAATATTTACTGCTCGATAGAATGCAAATGAACTTCCAAAATGTTTTTTTCTTACACGATTAAAACTATTACATCTTTGGTTCCAGACGATGATGTTTTTTTCACGGTTAGAGCCCCACCTGGACTGAAAAAGCCATAGTAGAGACAAGGTGGAATGAAATAGTTGTCCCCGAAAACTTGCTTTGCAGTGAAGCCATTTATATCTACTTTCTGAATATTTATTTCGAGGGGTCTGCCTCCTTCTCTATCGGCCTTCAAAGTGCAGGATATTTGCTGTTAGCTATGGGAGTTTAATCGTTTATAAAAGAAAATATGTTAGAAGCAAGCCTTGCATAGATTTACTTATCTCTCTGGCGTTTTTCCAGCGCTCATTATGCCGTAATGTGCATATGGGACATGAGCAGGGTCCATAAGATTTTCAATCAGAATTTCGTACTTGAAAAAAGTCAATATATATATAGCAATTAACTCTAGTATTAGAAAACAAAGCCCTATTTTTGGAAGTCTGAACATGAGACGAGAGTGATAAACATGGGACAGAGCTAGTAGTATTTATAATCATTGATGTCATGATTAATTGATCGCAACTAACGAAACCTTCGGTTAAGATAATAAACAGTACGTATTCCATTTTGTGACAAAATCAGGGTCATTCTTTCGCTTTTTTTCCCGGGACTTTTTTGTTATAATTCTCTTGTTCACATAATCATTAGGTACCATGCAAAGAAAATCAGAAGGTGAGCATATTATCCGGAAAGATTATGATACCCGTAAGGTATGTCCCTGGCTATCATCGAATTGGTGTATGTTGGGTCGTCAAGTTCTGGTATGTAATGAGGCTTTTTCTTCGATAATATATCTTTGTACTGTGGGTCCGAATTTGGCCAGAACCAAAGAATGCCATTTTGCACACAAGTTGGATAAACAGCTACACAAGCTTTCTTGGAAGTGTGAATCTGCACGAGTGGAAATATACTTTCAGTCTTCGATATTTGTGTACATCAAAATCCCAGAAATTCTAACTACAATGTTCACACAAAAGCAGAGAGTTAACACATCAACACCATCTTTAACTTCCGATAACAAGGCTTCAATTATTTTTCGCACTCCTAAACTATCACGTAAATGTGGTCAACGAACAATTCCGGCAAAAAGTCTTCAAATTTAAATGGCAACAGAGCTTCAAAATCTTTCGGTACTTGTTTATTTTCACCATTAATCTCATATTCACACTATCACACCATAAGTAACAAAAAATGTGTAAATATCATTTGCTGCAGCAAAATAAATTACAAAGCACCAAATCAACAAGGGAGGGAATAAAAGATCGAGATAGTTAATTACCGGAGGGCCGTCACGGGGTGCTTGAGGAATGAGTTTGCAGTCGCCGGCGCCACCAAAACACCAACCATGGTAGACGCACTGCAACCTGCCCCATTGATCAATCCTCCCTTCAGAAAGTGGAGCCAATCTGTGAGGGCAACTATCATCAAACACCTTCCATGCATCCTCATTTCTATCCCACCAAATCACTATATCCATTCCCATTACTTTCTTCCCATGCGGCCTTCTCTTGTCCAGATCACACATCGGCACCACCGGGTACCAATTTGCGTACCAATCAAACTTTTGCGATTCGATTTCCTGATCAGGCGATGACGATTCTTCCTCAGTTGATGATGGGGCGGCGGTTGGAGAAATAGCTGTGAACACCTTGAAATTCGCTTTCTTGCTGCGAATTTTGGAGAGAGGCGTCGTAATTTGCTGAATTGACGGAATGTGAAATAGGGTTTTTCGAAATGTTCTGGGAAGTTTTGTTGAGATCGGCGGGGGGTGAAAAGATGGGAAAGATGAAGCTCTGAGAGCTCCATACTAAGTACTAATTAAGATCACAAAAGTTGATGTTCAAAGGGGAATTAATTAATTAGTTGCAGAAGTAGTAAATTATTGGAGATAGGATAGAAGAGGTTTAGAGTGAGATCAAGACTGTGGCTTGAAATACTCTACCAACGCATGTATGTTTCATCTCTGTACAACAAAGGTTAATATAGTGTGACACATGTATTTAAAAAAAAAAGAAATAGAAAAAAGAAAGCATAAGGTCCAACAAATCAGATAACAAAAACAAACTAATGGTTCAATTAAGAAACATAAATGAAAACACGTCAGTTGTAATGAATGCTTCATATAAAAACTAGATTACATAAATTAAAAACGGAAATGAAGGGGAAATAAAAAAGGCGGATCCGATCCGATCCGATCAAAAGGTGGAGCAGAATTCCGTAACCAAAACACAAAAGAAAAGAGTCGAAAACACAAACGGATGAGACGAAGAAACTGCCCCGCCAAACTCCCAGCCATTGGCTGCCTTGAGAAAATTGAATATGCTCGAGCGAATAGCAAACTCAGCACCTCCCACGATGTGGGAGAGTGCCAAATTCGCTCCCCTTCCTCTTCAAAATAGTAATATGGGCCATAGTTTAACAAATTTGTGTACTTCTTAAACACTTCCACAACTGAGTACATGGAAGTTATTTGTGGAATCCTTTCCACTTATGTGATATATCTCCACAACCAGTGTAACAACTGCAACAATAACCTAGACAATACCAAACACCTTTATTTAATAACAATTTTCGAAAACTTTGGAAGTGAAATTGGAAACTAATCTTTAGAATCGGAATTCATTTCTCTCTCCTGTTTCCAGAACCGTGGAGGTCATCGGCGGCGGATCCGTGGAGGTTTCCAGGTCAATTGAGAGATTTTGGTGGTGAGAGGTTTTTCATTTCGTGCATAAAAAAGTCTTAAGGAATAATACTAGTAATTAATATTACTGAAATTAAAAAAAAACAAAAAATTTAAATAAGTAGGGTTTTATCTAGAGTTATTCATGCATTATACATTTACAGGATGATATATAGCAAAAAATGAGGAAATTTAATTGAAAGTTGTATTGATTAATGATTCCATCTAATTAATTTAGGTCTTTCTATTATGAGAAATTAAATAAACTTTCTCCAACCATTATAATTACATCTACACACAATATAAATCGATCGATAAGTATATAAAATAAATAATATAGACGTGACAAAATAAATCCATACGACGTATAAAATAAACTATATACAAATAATAACAAGTACTTAAGAAATTAAACAAAAATATTGGAGCAGTCCCATTACAATGGATATAATATGTATTAACACCATGCGTAATTAATTAATTAATTGCAGGAAAATCATTTAATTTAATTAGTCATGCGTAAAAGCAACCACATGCGAGATTTAGAAACCCAGCCATGCCAAAAAGGAAACGAATTAAATCAAAGCAAAATCTTCATGATCTTCAGTTCATGATATATATTCTCATATATACCAATATTTGTCATGCGTAAGATTTAAGAAAAAAAAATAATTAAAAAAAAAACTTGATTATCTATATATATATTGCATTAGTAAATCAAACGTCATCAAATACTCGATCAGACAAAACGGAAAAAAGAAAAAAAAGAGATGGCGGGAGAGGGAGATGAAGAAGCTGGTCGGCGTTGTTGTCCACGGAGGGTTGCCGTACAACAAGTTGGAGGACGACCCATCGTCTTACGTAGTTTGGTGCAAGTAATTATTAATTTATTTTTTAATCAATCAATATTTTCATATTTTATTTATTTATTATTTATTTACTAATTTGATACACCAATATTGGTCAGGTGTTTGTGGCATGTTTGACATCGGCAATGGAGTTGGTACTGGTAAATGGAGTAGTAGATCATGCAAGGAAGGTTCGAGTAAGTTTGATGGTGATGGCGCCGCTGACATCAGCTATCTCGGTGTATCTGGTGTACTGGAAATACGCGTGTCGTCGTGGCATGCTCATGAAGATGGGGGTGGAAGTAAGACGTGAGTATGAGAAGTGGTCGGTATTGGGCGAGGTTTTTCCGGTTATCTTCTGTCTAGTGCAAATAGGAAGCAGCATCTTCCGGTTATTGAAGTTCTTCAAAGGTTGGAAATTTGGGAATACTTTTGACATATTTCCAGCTAGTTATGCTTTCTTCTTGTTGATTTCAATCACTTTCTACCTCATCTTCGAGGATCTACCCAATTGGATCAAGTCTAGGAAATAATCTATCCCTTGATTTAATATAGTTACTTTGCTGCTGCAAGTTAGATGCTACATCTCGATTATATATATATACATATATCGGGTGCTTATTAGCCGTAGCACCCACTGTTATATATTAGACTAAAATTCTTGATTGAATTTTCTCTTGATTGAATTTTAGTCCTACATTCCATCTAATTTTATTTAGGCCTTTCTATTATGAGAAATTAAATAAACTTTCTCCAAACCACTGTAATTACATCTACACACAATATAAATCGATCGATACGTATATAATAAACTATATAGACATGACAGAATAAATCGAAACGTATAAAATAAACTATATACAAATTAATAATAACAAGTACTGAAGAATTGCTTGTAATTAATGATATAAAAAATTAAACAAAAATATTGGAGCCGAGTTCAAACAATACTTGGAAGATAAGAGAATGGCACTAAGAATTTTATAAATCTGAGTGCGAAGAATTTTTTTTTTTTTTTAATAAAATTCCATAATAATTAATGGATATAATATATATTAACACCATGCATAATTAATTCAGGAAAAGGGCATACATAATTAATTACCAACAGCTATTTTCTTCATTTTAGTTTGTGTATATATTGCCACTGTCATCCGTGGTGTCGGTGTACCTGATGCACCTTAAGTACGTGTGCCGTCGTGAGATCATCACGACGAATGAGGTGAGAGAAAGAAGTCGCTACGAAACATGGACGTTTTCGGGCATTTCACACAGTGAAGGTGCACAAGGGTTGGAAATTTGGGGATGCTACCTTGCATATTTTATTGAACCTAGCCCTGGGCACTTGACCATGCTTAAATTTTAATTTGAACCACTCTTCTAACTAATTTCATATTATTATATTATATTATCTATCTTTGTTCCAACTGTGTTGAATCTAGGATTATGTTTCCCTGTTTGAGGTACTAGTGTAATTTTCGTTTCATTTTATCTTAATGGGATTTTATTTATTTTAGTGTATTCGGCATGTCTTACATTTCATTTCATTTCGGTAGTAGATCAACTATGATTTGTGGGGTATAGAAATTAATTAAACGGATATTTTCAGAAATTAAACATTTTTTTCTATTGAAATATATAATTCTGAATTCAAAATAAAAAGAAAATGAAATGTATATAATTAGATCTAACAGAATAAATTGAAATGTATGAAAAATTTTATACAAATAATAACACTAGTGAAGAATTTATGAAATTAATTAGAAATGTATCAAAAATTAAACCAAAAAAAAATAACAGTAGTTATTACTTATTAGTAATCCCCATTAATTAATTTACAACTACTGCCATCTCTCTTTTTCTTTTATTCCGTTTTGTCTGATCGAGTATTTGATGACGTTTGATTTACTATTAATGCAATATATATAGATCAAGTTTGTTTTCTAATTACTTTTTTTTAAATCTTACGCATGACAAATATTGGAATGAGAATATATATATATATATATATATATATATATATATATATATATATATATATATATATATTGATTTAATTCGTTTCCTTTTTGGCATGGATGGGTTTCTAAATCAAGAGAAAAATAAGATTAAAATTCAATTAATAGAAAAATAAGACTAAAAGTCAATCAAGAGAAAAACATAAACGAAATTGAAAAGTGAAAACGAAAAATAACGGCAGCACGCATAACAACAGATGGCCGATCGTTGAGTTAATAATCCTAGCTCATGTCTTCTACCAAATAAGACATGTGGATAATGACAAAAACCAAGATGCATACGGCGTAAATAAGCGGATAGTTGATTAAAAAATTCTTCAATTTCCAACCGTTGAGCGCCTTCAGCAAGTGGAACGTGCTGCTTCCTATGTGCAGCACAGAGAAACCAACCGTCATAGCATAAACAAACCACGTCATCATCGGGTTATTGTCAACACAATATCGACACAAAACCAAACACACCGAGATAATCGATGTGAACGGCGACACCCACAACAAACTTGTTCGATGCTTCGGCCCACCTACTCCCATTATCAGTGCGATCTCCACACTCATTGTCACACATACCACAATCACCTGATTCATATAAATAATAAATAATTGTTTTTGTACAAAATTATTGAATATATATATATATATATATATATATATATATATATATATATATATATATATATATATATATATATAGATGGAATATTTTTTTTAAATTTTTTTTATATAAGTAATTACCTGCAGCAAACTAAGTAAGCAGATGGCTCGTCCTCCAACTTCTGCTTCGGCAACCATCTGTGGACGCTCCCAACCAGCTTCTTCATCTCCCTCTCCCGCCATCTCTTCGATCTTTTCTCCTCTCTTTTTTTTCGATATTTTCTACTTTTTTTCGAGTACGTATTTAATTTGATTGATGATAGTAATTCAGTATATATATATATAGACGAATATTGATTATCTATTTTTAGGTATTATTTTGTATCTTAGGCAGCATGACCAATATTTTTATTTTTGGAATGAGAACCATCAACTTGAGTAGTAGATTCTGCTTCCGATTTTTTGTTTCCTTTTTTACATAGATTCTATTTCCAACAACCACAATAATTCTACATGAAGTATATTTGGTACTTAGTTTCTTAATTTTATGCATGCATGCATGGCATGGCAATTAATTTTTTTTTTTTGGAAAATACAACACATATTTCACTATTTGATATAAACGCATACTCGCCTTTCCCTTCTTTTATAATTCCAAAATTGTTCTTTCCACTACACCCATCCCCAGTTTTCATTTTTTCCTTTTCTTTGTTTAAATTATTTTTTGGCCCATCGAATACTTCTATTGGGCCTCATAAATCTGGCCCAATAACTACCCTAAATAAATTAGACCAATATTAATTATTTTTCGTGTCGACAAAACGTCTAGCTAAATAAACTTTCTTGGTAATATTATATATATATGATTAGATCTACAGATATCATTATAAATTGATACGTATAAAATACACTATACAGATAATAACAAGTACTGAAGAATTTCTGAAATTAATAGAAATAAATAACATAATGTATATATAAAAAACAATGGAGCAGAATTCAAACAGTAGCTGCAGAAAGACAGAGAGAAGACAATGGCACAACAAAGAATTTCAAAAAACAGCTGAATTAAAATCGAGCGCAAAGCGACAAGTCACCCGATCGATATACCTAGAAATTATACTAGATCTATACATTATGATCATGAAATTGCATTTAGAATATGTATATATATGCATATGATGCAAGCATGTCAATTAAAAGCAAGAAATTAGTCTTTTTCGTCTACGCGCAAAATATGTCGGAACGAGTACCGATATTCACAAAAAAAGAAACACGATCGGAGAAAACAGACAACCTAAAGACGAAAATACAACAAAAGAATGTACAGCAAGTTCGAAAAGTCATAATCTGCTATCTCTTTTTCATCAATGTAAATAATATATGGTCTTTCCTCAAAAGTCCTATTTCCTAAATTCATAACAACCTTATTATTATTATTTTCGACTTCTATTTCATGCTTGAAGTACCTGACAGTGCACAATGTGACTCTTCAACCCGCTTCTCCCCGCAATACTCGACCACAAATTCGTGAACAAATTCCTAAAATGCCCCTTGATTGCAATATTTTCCCAAATTCCCGAACTGCCCTCCGCCCGTTTATCCGTGCCCGAAACATCCACCATACTAATACTCATATTATTCCGAATAATACAGAGCTTCCCGTTAATCGGCACAAGCGCAGCCGCCTCCAGAGCCCGCGAATTTCCGAGATGAATCTTACTATCAATGAACCTACTCCAAGAATCCGTTTTTTCGTCATAAACTCGCAATTTACACCCGTCCCTACAATCCAACGCGTAGAGCTTTCCGTTCATAGAAATACTCGGATTTCTCCATCCAGAAACCATCCCATCGTTAATCGGACTCCACAAATTACTCTCCGGTGTATAAGCTTCGCTCAAAACCTCCCTATGTGCACCGAGCCCTTTCAAGAACCACTTCCCGTCATAAACAACTCCGATAAACGGGACCATAGCTGTGCTCATATCAGCTATAAAACTCCACCGGTTTCTATTCGGATCGTAAACTTCGGCCGAGCGAAGAGTTCTCTGTATGCCTTCACATTCTCCACCAGCTACGTAGAGACAGTTGTTTATCACGCACGAGCCAAAGAAGTGTCTTTTACGAAGCATATCTGGGGCCCTGTGCCATTTGTTCGTTCGGGCGCTGTAAAAGATCACTCGTCTCATCGACCCTTTAAGGGGGTCTTTGCCCCCGAAAAGGTACAGGTGGCAGCCGCTGAGGACAGCACAGCCGAATCCGAGGGCTGAGCTGTAGTCGACGGGGACAGGTGGCAGCGGCTGCCAGAGCTGATAAGTGGGGTCGAACGCGTGCCATGAGATTCGATTGTCTTTGTCTCGTTTGACCACATAGACCCATTCTTCGGCCATGCCGAGGGATTTGCGGAGGGAGTAGAAGAAGTTCCCAGCGAGGAGCTTGAACCAGCGTTTGCTGACGAGGCGGAGCTTGTTGTGGTCGACGCGTGGGACCCGGATGAGGCAGGCGATCGCCAGGTCATCGGGGAGGCCTGGGAGGAGCGGGGGCTGGATCCTTGTTCGCTCGCGGCGGGAGTTTTTGGAACGGTGTGCTCTAGGGTTGATGTCTGGTTGGATGCAGATTTTGGAACCTGGTACGAATTTTCTTGCACCGACCACTGTTTTCAGACCAGAGTCTACCTTGCAGTAACATGACACAGAATCGACCTGCAAAAATGGTGGAAATACGAGTAATAAGGTAAGCTGATGCGAATTATATACCAAGACTTGACCTTCGAGTTAGATGCATAACACGCATAAAAGTACTAGAATTTGAATGCAGAAAATAAGCTGAATTTACAATAGTCGACATAAATTATATTTAAAGAGGGGAGAATTGCTGTATACTTTTCGTTCTTGAGCATTTCTAGTATATTTTGTCTTCGGTTTATTATCTTCAGATTTAGCATAGCCATATATCTCAAAGGCTCGGCTACAATACAATACTTTTAGCAGCATACTACGAGTTCCTTAATACGATGGGAGTTAAATCGGATAGCAAAAATGAGTTCCCTAATACACACTGGATTTAGTAAACGAATCTTGCTCACGAAATTAACCCCTTCAATGTTTTAATAGCAAAATTCACACAAGGGAGATCCCCATCTACTAGGTTCATTTCCCACTTCCTCAATCGAAATTACTCGAATTAACTTTCGACCGGCCCCCTTTTCCAATCTATTCACATAAATCTATTGCTTAGTTCTTGGCATTCTCAATTCATATGTGTATCTTCAAAGATCAGCAAAATCGAAATTCAAAAACGAAAAACCCACAACACATAATCCTCAGAATACAAAGAAATCCAGCAGTACAGATAAAGCACATTACCAAGAATTTCATATGGGAATCATGAAAAACACATGAATTCAAAGAATTGCTAACATAAAAAAGGTCAAAGGATCAAGTTTGACTCACCAGTGGTGCTTGAACTCGGTAACCCCTTTGTACATTTGGTGACCTCTCTACCGTTTGCTCCATATATATATATCAAAACTCAAGTCTCATATACATATAAAAAAAAAAAAAAAAAAAAAAAAAAAAAATCACCTTTTTTTTTCTTCAGAGAGAGAAAAAACTCAGATCAAGAACTCAAAAAAATCAAATCTTGAAATCTGAATAAACTCAGCATTCGATGAGAAAAAAAACCCAGAAATCTTCACAGAAAAAAAAAAAGGAGAAAGAAAAAGAAAAATCCCACAAGCCCCAAGAAAGAAGCTTTTTTTTGTAGGGGTCCCCTTTTTTCACATCTGCAAATGCAAACAAGAAAACCAACAGCAAAAATTTGGGTTTTGGGAGTTAGGACTGTTTGCTATACTTCAAAACGTGAAGGGCATCTCTCTCTCTCTCTAGACTCTATCTATCTCGTCTCTTTCTCTCTCTACACCAAAAATACACACACACACACAAACACACTTGTAACTGACATATACATACAGAAAAAAGACTGTGGGTTGTTTTTGTTTCTTCTCTGACCGAGTATACTTAAAATGCTAAGCTAAGCTGAAGATTACAGCTGGACCCATTGTCTTTAGTGTCAACAAACATGGGTTTACTTTTGCAGATTTAATTTAATTCCTACTTATAAAAAAATTAAAAATAAATAAATTACATTATGTTATCACCTAAGATATTGTGCTGCAATGTAATAATCTGAGGGAGAAATGAAAATTTAATGTCAAGTGCAGCTGCAGACAAGAAAGCTGTTCAGATTTTCCAATCTCTGCATTTAATTAACGGGTCAACCCGCTCTGTGTGTGTGTGTGTGTGTGAGATTAAAAGGGAGGTGGCAATGAGTTTTTTTTTTTCTTTTTCTTTTTCTTTTTTTCTTTTTCTTTTATGCTAAACAAGAAATAATTAAATAAATAATCTAAAAAAAGAGACATTAATTTCAGGTATATGGATATTATTATCTTGATTGCTTACAAATAAGTAAAAAATTAATTAACATAAAAAGAATTTATAATGTAATAAAATAAATAAAAACCAGATTGCAAAGGCAAAATAATAAATATGAAAGAGACTATCCCTCCACCACCTCCTTCAATGTTTCTACCTAAATCCACCATCACATTATCACCTACTATATATTTCATTTTTAATATTATTTTATTTTTTTCTGTTGAGCATTTACAGTTTTATCTCCAATTGGAGTAATTATAATAAAATATTTGCAGAAAATAGCCCTAATTAATTGCATTTATTTCAATTTATTGCCTTCAGAAAACCCCACTATTTTTTTTTTATCAAATATTTAATAAAATAGTAAAAATATAATTTGGAATTTTAAAAATAAAATGTTGCATGTCAAGGATGGGTCATGGGACCAATTTTTATACATCAACTAATTGGTCACGCCGGCCACATAAATTATAACTTAAAATATTATATCTTCAACATCAAGTGAAATAGAACAAGTGGAAATTATATTCAACTATTAATTAACTATGTACTATGTAGTATGGAAAATAATTAGAAAAATATTTAATAATAAAACTCGCAAAAAAAAAAAAAGAAAAGCAATTAATATTAATATAGTTGGCAGAGAAATAAACCAAGAAAACGCACTTAAACTTTTGGCTGCTTTTGGAAGGTCAAAGAGCTGCTTTTTTTCTCCACCCAAATCATATATATTCATTCCCACTAATTCTCATTATAATTACTCTACCTTCACTCTTTCTATAACACACACACACACACACACACGTATACGTATGTGTGTGTGTTTGGCAGTATCTAGTTCAACAACTCCATATGTGTTTTTTTCTTACGTTGAGTGTGTGAGCCTGTGTGTGTTTTATGTTTTCATTTTTTTCTTTTTTTTAATTTTTTTTTTGGGTGAGTTGTAATAATTAATAGTATAGACTATATAGAGTCGTGGAAATAAGTGGCTGATCTTGGTCATATATATATTTATTTTATAAATTTACATATAATATGTATAGCAAGGACGTATTGAATAGGAAATAATATAATTGAACAAATTAGTGTAGTTGGTTTCAAGCTGATTTAAGAGATGACGCCATTGTCACAACTCCCTTTGATTACAAAATTAACATTTACCTAAATCAGTTTCAAATTAAATCAAAGAATATTTGCACCCGATGCTTCGGATTTCGGATTTTCGGGTTTCGTGAATTTAGTGCAGTATCTCAATAACCGATTTCAAGGTGATGGATCAATTTTATGATATAATAATTCATCAATAAATTAAACGGCGGTAAAAGCAAGCCGTTCTAGAACAGATGATGTTGGTTCACGAATTGACCGATTAACAAATGTTTAGGCAACTAATCCACCACCACTTAATAAATAATTATATAATTATAAATGCAATTAATAATTAAAAAAAAAAAACATTGGGCTCCTATTTCCCGAACATTGTATATATGTACTGTAATGTATGTATGCGATCTTTCATCATTTGTAAATGTTTTTTTGTATTTATTAAAAGGCCCTAAAAAAAAGCCCACTAAATTAGCTGATCAAATAATCATGAACTAAAGGGTAAATTACAATCTCCACCTGAGTTAAAGTGTAATTATAAAAAACCCCTTCTTTTTTAGAAATTACATGCAACCCCCTGCAGTTTGTTAATTTCTTATTTTCACCCCTTATAAACATGTATTAGTATGAGAAACCTACAAATTACAGGGGATAGATGCAATGATGAAAAAACGAAGGGATTTTTTCGTAAATAAACATTACTAGGGGGGTTTTGAGTTATAGCTAGGTTGTTATTCATTTTTGTTTTATGCATGCAGTACTTTCATTATCTAAGTTATATATATTAAGACCTCGTTTGGTTGGAGAGATTAGTCATGATTATGTTATCATGCCTTATCTTGCCATTTAATGTATTTTTATTGGATCTTCCAAGATCAAATAATACAATTGAGTTTCAATAGATTATTTAATTTTATCTTGGCTAATCTTATCTTTGGCAATCAAACGAGGCCTTAAACAAGATTGCTACGGAAAAACTACAGTGGGATTTGATAGGGATCTAGTGTACGCAACGGGCAATGCCATGAGTTTCTTGGTTCTTCCAACGTACGCCCTCTTCGTCAAGTTATCGTAGTCGTTGCTTTCGATCGAATCCAGGATCATTCTGTACAGAATCAACGATGACCAAACCTGCAAAACTCAATCATAAGAAACATCAGTTTAAATATTTCTTAATCCAATTCTCGTTTTAGGCTTCATTTGGATTGAATGATTATATTGGAAGGCATATGCGTTTAATTTACCGGCCAACGGCTAGCTTTGTGAAGCTGAGTCGCCCCTTGTTCGGCGAGATCAAAATAGAACCTTGCTCTTCTAATCTGCTCTTTCATAAATTCTCTCCAATCATTACTTACTTTTCTTGAGAACACGTATTTATCGCACAGCCCGAATTTCGTCAGTTCGTCTTGCGGAAGGTAAACTCTCCCTCTTGATGCACTGTTTATATTCAAACAAAACATATTCATTCATAGGATATATATATATGTCCTAAAAAATTCAAAAGACTTACTCTTCACCAACATCTCTTAGAATGTTCGTCAATTGATTCCCGATTCCTAGATAAAGCGCTGAATCGTATATCGTTTGAGCTGAAACTGACGATTCTGGTGCGATTCCCATTACAGGAACACTCATTAGGCCTACAGTTCCAGCCACATAGTAGCAGTACAAATAAAGCTCTTCGAAGTTTGCGTATCGGTTCTTTCTCGTGTCCATTCTCATCCCTTCTATCATGTCCTTGAATGGCTATAATAATATAAAAAAAATAAAATTAACCAAATTACTACATACGTACTAAAAAATCGAAAACTTGGGGAAAAACGAAAAAATAAACCTTAATGTCTAAAGGAAAGTTGTGGACAGTATCAGTAAGTGCAGCGTCGAGCATGTCGTAAGGGCGGCCATTGAAGATATCGTCTAATCTCTCGTCCCATCTTTCTAGAACGGACGAGCTGTGGTGGGCCGCGTTTGGACCGTCAACTAGTTCATCTGTCCTCCTGCACCACACTGCATCGAATCGAAACAAACAAAAATACATAAATAAATAAATAAAACATTATCCAAGTGTACTTTAACATAGGCAAATTACGAAACATTCAAGAATTAAGTTATACCATAAATAGCCCATATTGCTTTCTGTCTTTCCTCAGTCATCAACAGTGTTCCTGCAATCATGTTCGAATTTTAACTAAAAAATATCAACTTCTGCTAATAATTAGAAAAAAATAATATGAAAAATTGGAAGATTAATATTAATAATAATAACCTAAGTAGAATGTCTTTGCATACTCAGCACAAATATCCCTGCATCTTTCGTACGCTTCGTTAAGAAACATAGGATGGAAATTAGGCCTCGTTGTACGAATATCCAAATCCGACGAGCCGATCTTCTGCGACTGTTGTCGTTGGACTATTTCGTGCACGAACAAATCAGTGCAAGAAATCCCATGAAGCGATAGTTGTGTCGGAGAAGTAGTCTCTTTCGTTTTATTCGTAATAGCTACGGTTACTTCAGCTCTCGGACTTGTTCTTCGTTGCTTCTTCTTTGACAAGAATGTACTGTTTCTTGCTTTGATGCAAGTGTTAGCTGCACAAGAAAATGCTGCATTCATTTTTGTAATAAATGTTTATTAAATATTATTCAATGGAATTTTATCAGGGGACCTCTGTTTTTATAGTTATTTATTATGTGTTTTAAGATTGCAGAAGCACGATTCTAAGTATGTAAGAACAAAGATGCTAATTTGTCTATAGCAATTTTTAACATTGCTTCCGAAATTGTCTGCTTATGCCACTGGAAATAAGGATCTTGGCCGCCTTCGATACCTTTCTTTCTTGAAATCTTCAAATTATAATAATAATTATAATTATTATTATTAATTTATTTTAAAAAAAATTGGGTTTAAGTAAAAAATATTATTTTATAAAAATAAAACCTTATTTTATTTTTAAGGCCCTCCCAATGTGACAAATTATCCGACCGGTTGGATTTTGATTTTGGGATTAATTCGGTCCAACAAACGCAGTGCAACTATACTATGAGTCGATCTTGAATGCTGAATGCTATACATATTACAGTTCACTAGATAGCATATGATCGTAGATTTGCAAACAATTATATACGTAAATACGTCGGTGTATATAAAACGTGTGTAAGAGAAATACATATATACATTTAATATACTATCTACTACTGAACTTCGTCGTGGTATATAATAGAATAAATCAACTACCGCAAACATGCAATATTGTTGGGTTTTTTTTTTTTTTAATTTTCTTTAAAAATATTAATTGTATTTAAATTAAAGTAAAATGATCAGAAAAAACTATTATTTAATCGAGATTATTAATATATAGAAATTTTACGGTATATAAAAGCTTATAATCGTAAAATAGTGCAATATAAACCGGTCATTGTCAATGTGGTTGGTCAACAAAAAAATGGGCCACTGCCATTGGGCCAATTTTATCCAAACAAATAGTGTACGAAGAACAGTAGGATTTGGATCCGGGTCAAAATACGGGTGATATTGTTTTATAATGAAATGTCAATATTACCCTTGAACAAACTAAGACACGTCGACAGACGTACTATTCATTATTTAATTTGAACCCGTATCTTTTTCTGCACTCCTTTTCCTTTTGCCTTTCGCATTATTGGTGAAAGAGTTAAGAGAGGGGTGCTCGCAATTTGCTACACAACCAACTGGACAATGGTGCCCTCGAGGTGTTTGAAGGAGATACCGTCGAAGGGTTTCCAGTGTAAGTTCTTTTTTGAGGCTATATTAGCAATGCAGATTGTTTACTGAAAAAATCCATGCCTTTTTTTGTAGTGTTTCGAGTGTTTTTTTTTGAAGTGATTTTTAGCCACATTTAGTTGATTGTTGCTCGTTCTCGATGTGGGTGTGGCTTTTATGTTCATTGACAGTGTTATTGGAGCCGGAAATTGTGAATAAATACTTTTATACAAAAGAATTTTAGTGTAGGCACCAGGTGTTTGATAGAAGTCCCGTGTCAACTGTTGCGTAGTATTTGTGAACTTACCATCTGATTATAGGTGTTTTTTTGGAGCAATCGTAGTTTTGACGAGTAAAACACGTTATGGGTTTTTTTCTTCTTTCCTTTTTGAAAAAGTCGAACTTTGAAGTTATGAAATATGAAGGAAGTATGAAATTGGTCTGATCAATAAATTATAAAGATTTCCTCTGATATTGTGTTGATTTTATGGGCTAAGTGGAATCTATCCTAATTTATAACATTTAATCACATTATATATTTCACAAATCTGTCATTCATTAGCAATTTGTAGCAATGTTGAGTTCACGAATAGACATAATGGGATATAATGTTACGCTTTTGCTAGTTGTCGTATAACTCTTGCGCTCATAAAGACTGTATTGTGTGGATAACATCCGACTATTAAGGGAAAAGAACTTCAATGAAATTTGTTAGAATTAAAAGTTGAGCTAAAAGAAATTACGACAAAGACAAAACTGATAACAAATATGATTCGAACCTCAGAGATATGATTCAACCATTATACAGCATATTTTTTCAAATGGTTTGAACTAATAGTACATATTCGAACCTCAAGATTTGATTCATTCAAATTTTGATTAGATGTTTGGACCCTAGATCTATTAATTGAAGAACTGGTCATCTTAGATTGCTTTATTGTTTCAGGAAAATTTAGGGCACTTTAAAACATGCCTCATGTATTTAACATGTAATACTTTTTTTTGTCCTTGAATGTTGGTATTCTTGTTTTTTTTAAATGAAAGATTATATATTGTTTCGGATGGTTCTACTTCATGGTTTTCTTCTTCTAGTGTCCCTTTTTTTTTTTTTTTTTTTTTTTTTTTTCCGGTTATTTGTATTATTTGGGGCTCCTAATTGATGATTTACGAACTGAATGTTGATGAATGAAGGTTGTTAACTTGAGAGATCCCATCCATTACTCATCATCAAATTTTGGTGGGACAAAAGAGTTGCACATTGCTAGTATGTTGTCCATTGAGCGTTCTCATCATAGATCACATGAAGGAGATATTAAGGTTTCTCCAGACAATCAAGAAGATGACGGTGGGCATTGGTATTTTTCTAAGAAGGAAATAGAGGAAAATTCACCTTCAAGACAAGATGGCATTGATTTGAAGAAAGAGACTTCTATGCGGAACTCATACTGCAAGCATTTACAAGATCTGGGGATGAAGCTGCAAGTGTGAGGTTTCTTTCTTTGATGTGTGTGTTTCCTTATTATTTTAGTCAAAATGAATTGCTCTGGATTTCTTAAAAATTTTCGAGTGATGATTCTCGATTGTCGTCCTACGTTTTTTAAAGCTGTAGAAGGTGTAAATCAGAACTTTTCTTGATTTATTATATATGATAAAGTAGTAGAAAAACATAAAGTAGAATTCGAAAGTCAAATGTAATCTTTCTCCATATCTTGTGTATTCTCAAAACAATGCCGGTGGCTTCACGATGCAGGCCTCAGGTGACGATTGCGACAGCAATGATATTTTGTCACCGTTTCTTCATTTATCAGTCTCATGCCAAGAATGATAGGAAGGTGAGTTGATGATTTATTCTGTCATGTATTAATTCATCTGAAGCTGATAAAATCTTTGGTTTATGTGGCTGCTGTTTCTGAATAACTGCATAGCATTTTAACAAGCATACTCAAACCATCAGCATCTCAGTCGAGATATTACCTGTTAGATGTCGCTGTTAGGTGTAGGCTAACATGCACCTTGATTCATGAAATAAACCCTTGTTGCAGACTATTGCCACAGTATGTATGTTCCTTGCGGGTAAAGTTGAAGAGACTCCCCGTCCTTTGAAGAATGTCATACTAACGTCGTATGAACTTATTCACAAAAAGGATGCAAAAGCTGTCCAAAAGATCAAGCAAAAGGTGGTGTGATATATTCATACGTACATATATACGTATATATACTCTATTTTGTTTACAAATAGGGTTGTTTCATGCTGTTTTACCCTTTTTGTAGGAGGTATACGAACAACAAAAAGAACTTATCTTGATCGGAGAAAAAATGGTGCTTGCAACTCTTGCTTTTGACCTTAATGTACTCCATCCATATAAACCTCTTGTCGAGGCAATTAAGAAATTTAAGGTTGCCCAGAATGCACTCGCTCAAGTTGCCTGGAATTTTGTGAATGATGGGTACGTCTCTTGCTTTGTCATCGTTTTCATAGTTCACGCACATTGCCATTTTTGACCCGAGAAAAGAGGCATGCATATTGCAGGCTCAGGACATCACTCTGTTTGCAATTCAAGCCCCACCACATTGCCGCCGGTGCTATTTTCCTTGCCGCCAAGTTCTTGAAAGTGAAGCTCCCATCAGACGGCGATAAGGTTTGGTGGCAGGAGTTTGATGTCACCCCACGTCAATTGGAGGGTCAGTTTCTTTCCGTTGCTAATGTAATAGCTAAGACAAATATATACTGTCATCGGCTTTCGATCGAATAACTGTTTTAAAATGATGCAGTTTGACGGAAAATATCTAATTTGATTGGATTTGCTGTGTTTCTTGCAGTGGTTAGTAATCAGATGTTGGAATTGTATGAACAAAATAGAGTGCCGCCATCTCAGACAACTAAAGCCGAAGGTGGTGGAGGCAGTCAAAGGCCTCCTTCAAAGGGTGGTCATAAAGAACATTTGGCTAATGACAGCTGTTCCCGTGGTGGAGCTCCTTCTAAGACACTACCCTCCAAGCATTCTGACAATCATAACGGACCTTGTGAAGTGACTCAAACACGAACTTCTGACTATGAAACAACATCTGAAACAAATTACGAGATAGGAGACAGTGAAATTAACAGCACAGAGCACCATCAAGGACAAACACTGTCGGATAAACATAATGGTAGAAATTTGTCCCACAAAGACGACACGGTTGTGAAGTCACCTCAAAAGATTGACAGAGAAAAGCTCAAAGCAGCGTATGAACGGAGAAAGGCATCTGGAGACAAAATACCTCAGAAAATGGAACCTTTGGACGAGCTCGAGTGGGAACTAGAGGATGTTGAATTGCCTGAGAAAATTAAGCCTGAAATGAAACAAAGCCGATCTAAACACATGAAATACGAGAGTGAGATTAGAGAAGAAGAAGAAGAAGGGGAAGTTGAGCCTTTTGATGATGATGATGGCAGGGGATATATATCACCTAGATCAAGTATTCGCAAGAGGAAAGCTGAGCAGCAAAATGACCATGAAAGGGAGCACAAAAAGCACATCCAAGAGAATCATTTGTGACATGTTTTCAGTGATTGCTTGACCATTTTTGTTTGCACGTTTTACCACGCGATGAATGCTTACGTCAACTTTATTTATCAAAGAAATGTAAGCCGCCCGTAGTATGGGATATATATTTATATTTTTCAGGATCAATGTATAATGATTGTGGAGGTTGTTATTAGGAGGTCGTAATATAAGGCAAAAAGAAACGATCAGTTTCACTAACTGAAATTATTGTTCTCCAGTTGTTTCTGTTCATTTATTTTATTTATTTTTCTCCCATATCAGAGTGTCATTGTTGTAGAAGTACGAAAACACATGTGTCGTTTAAATTAGTCGAGTCGACTTATGAGCTTGATGAGCCGGTCAACAAACTCTCGAGCTCAAGCCCATCTCCTAAATAAAAATAATTTTCCAGCTCAAGACGTATACGAGTCACAGAAACATGTTAAACTTTTCTAACGTTGTATGTAGTCTGTACCAACCTTTATACTAATGTAATACATAATGATATACAATATATATAGACAAATTTACAGAAAAAGAACAATTATAAACTCTATTTGTCGTCTCCAAAACTAATCGGCATCGGTTTAAATGCAGCTAATACGACAGAAACTTTACACATAAGAAATCCCATCATCCCAAATACAAGATCTTTGGATGTCAACTTAACAGCATCGTCTCCTGAGGCATATTTCAGTATAGCAATGGCAAATGCGAATCCCAATACAAGACTTATAATAGGGCCTTTTAATCTTCCAAGACTTTGACCAAAATCTCCTTCTATCTCGCTCGGAACAAGCTCCGGTGTGGATATTCCGTCAACCGATCTTTGCAACAGTAATAGATACAAGAATCCACACAATCCACCTGTCAAGAACGGATAAAGAGCTTTTTCCCCTGCAGAAAAAGACGAAACGGAGGATCCAGCCAAGATAAGCAAAGCATCGTAAAATAGCAACGAGAACTTTAGGTACGAATATTCCTTCATGCTTTCTTCGTTCGAAGTGATGTAACTGCCGAGTGAATTTGTTTCGTCAAAGGATTCATCATCCTCTTTGGAAAAGGCTGTAATGGAACGAGGTCTGAATTCTATCATTGAAGCCTCACTTTTTTCACCGAGCAAGATATCCTCGAATTCGAAGTTGTACTGTAGAGCACTAAGCTGCTTGCTTTCTTGGTTATTTTCTGCTGGAGAAATCACAGTCAAACTCATGCCACCTATTCTCCATTGACCTGCCATTCAAAATAACAACTCTAAACAAAAAATAAAACATGGAGATCGATTATTACGAATTTCGACCATCACACTCCGTATCACTGACATTGTGCGCGTCTTATGCTGGAAAATACCATCACATAATCTGGATGTCATTTTCTACATTACTAAATATAAATGTGCTTAAGTATCTAATTGTCGGAACACTATTTCAAATTTCAATGTTCTTCTCGAAGTTTTCTGTCAGAGAATAAAGCATGCAAAGTTCAATAAAAACTGATTCAAATAAACTAAAATTTAAATGCTGTTTATAAATGCAATTAAAATAAGAACATATCTTCTTCTAGGAAATAGATTAACCTGATTCAACGCTGATCCAAACAGCTACAATTCTCCCAAGATCAGGTCCCTCGAAAGCAAATTCATCGACAGAGCCTCTTTGGAAATGCAAAGTATCATATACGACCTTTTCTTTTAACCATGTATGGGACCCAACTGAAGAAGCGGGTAACCTTTGCAAGATCGAGGATCCATTCTCGTCAATCAAACATAGTAAAATTCCAGAGTTGACATCACTGAAACCTGAGCCGTAAAGTTTACTCGTCCGTAGCTTGACTTTATAGAAGGACTCGGTTTTGCCAAACATAGGAGAAGCAAATAAATCCTCAAAAGAACCATCTGTGCAGAGTTTCACTTCTCCAGCTCGAAGGAGTCGAGAGGGTTTTGCGTATTCTTGAAAATCTAATAGAATCACACCATACATGTAATTTTTCAATTATCAGATAATAACCATTTTGATCGTTCAAATAAATTGAGGTCCTAGAAAATAAAATCAACACAATTTAGGTAATATTATAATTAATGGGAGTACTTAAGCTTAAGCTGGCATTCAATTTTCATCCTCAAACCACCCAAATTTGAATTCCTTATCGATCAAAATAACAACAGAATTGAATACATTACAAAACTATATATTCAAGCTACCCTAAATTCATGGAGAACGAAATTCAAAAATTCAGAAATATTTATCCTCGGATTTCTTCTATTAAATAAAATAATAAAAATTCTGAATGAAATAAAGAGAAGGGGTTCGGAGGAAAGTACCTTGATAACTGTTCCTTTTGGAATGAACAACGAGTGGAGAATACTGATAATCAATACCTAAATCTGTGTTACGACGTCGATTTGTTACGTAATATTTTCCTGGAAATTTATTACAGGTTGATGAAACCAAAATTTTTGAAGAAAGCGACTCCATTTCTGGGGAAAACTTGATGAGCCAGAAGAAGATTCTTGCGGAAAATGAAAAAATATCATTACTTTTTTTTTTTTTTTTTTTTTGGAGTAAATCGTGTTTTCAGAAGAGCGCTTTTTGTTGTGAATGTTAGAGTCGTTAATTACTGTAAAAGATGGATCGGGCCAAATAGCCCAGTTATAGATACAGTAAGGCCCAATTGATTAATTATCTTGATTCTAAATTGGAATATTCGATTTTGGTTATTGACCGGTCAACTACAAATAACAAGCAAACGGTGTCGTTTTCATATTGCGGACTGTAATCCATATTCCTGCAGGTTTTTCAGCTTATCCATTTCCTGCCTAAACGACAAGATGACGTCATCCTCCAAATGGACCAAAACCTTGACCGTTTCGGTTTCTTTTCCCGGCAAGAAAAAGCAAGGCTCGACGCTCCCCAGCAGGTGCCTCGACAGCGGCACCACCGCGACTGGGCCGCGCCACCCGAAGTCCACCGTGGAATGGCCCAAGTGCCGCCAGTCGGTGAACCCGCTCACCCTCCTCCCGCCGCTGATCCCATCCTCGTAGTGCAACTCCTGGAAATCGACGAACGAGGACACGTACTCGGCGGTGGCGTTGCGCTTGCTTTTCTTGATTGAATCGGCTGTTTTCCAGATGGGCTGCTCCGCCACCTCCTCCGCCGTGAGGTGCACGTACATGGGCACGCAGCCGTTGCCCCAGTAGCCAGCTGGCAGAGGCGGATTGGCTATCTTTCTGATGTTGATGGAGTATGCGAATGTGACTTTCTCGTGTATAGGGACTTGACAAGATTTTGTCCTGCAAAAATATAAACTAATAAATTAAATAATCAAAATTTAAAATAATAAATTCAATCTGAATTTACTAACCTAGCCCTCCATATGAAAGCACCCAATGCTTCAAAAGTGGTAAATTTTGACCCGGATTGGTGGTGTAGGATTTTCTTGAGATGATCCAACCACTCCGCTTTCACATTAAAACACTCCTTCACGACCCGTTTACCCGAACCCGTATAAGGGGAGAAACCCTTGTCCAAGCTCAGAAACTCCTGGATCGGGAACTCCAAACGGGGCGGGTTTCTCGGCCCGAGCAAAGTGGTTCGGTCCCAAATCGGGTCAATTGTCATCTGACCCGACCCCCGTGCCAGCTCAGCCATGGCGTTGAAGAACAGCGTTGCCCCAAGCCCGTCGCATATCGCGTGGTGTACGGCTGCCCCGAGGACGAACCCACCACAGCTGAATCTCGTCACCTGCAACGTCATGGGTCGGATCGAACTGCCATCCGGATCCGGGTCGGGGAGCATCCGACCGGAGAATTCCTCGTCGACTTCAGCGTCGAAGTTGTTGACGTGGCTCAGAGGGAAGTTCACGGATGCTCTGACGACTGGCACACCATCGCCGGCGTGGCAATGCAGCTCGAAACGGCCGTCGGAGATTCGACGGAGAAGGGTGCCGGCGAACGGGTAGTAGCGGACGAGGGCGGCGGAGAGCGCGGCGGTGATGACGTGGAAAGGGTCTGCCTCTTGACCGGGGTTGTCCGCGTAAACGCGAAGGTAACGGAGAGTGACGGTGAGGTTGCGGTCCATGTCGACGTGGGAGAGAGAGAGGACGTGATCGTGATCAAACGGAGACTTAACGGCGCGGACAACGGCGGTTTCTTGGATACTTACTTCCATCCTCGGTGGGCGAATGACGGTGGAAGTGCGGTGGCGCACGGCTTTATAATTTTGTTCAAGTGGAAGAAGGTGACGTGGCGTATTTTATCACCACATGTCACGTAATGGTAGGTGGGAAAATGAAAGAGCTACTAATCTAGTAATCTATAGTTTTATTTTAATTATATAAATAGTTAATCTTTTTTTTTTTTTTTTTTTTTTTTTGAGAGAAGTTAATCTTTCATTTAAGTATTTTTATTTATTAATAATTATTAATTAGATTTTATCTCCAGGCCTTTCAGTATAAGGGCTATTTAATCGGGCTTTTTAGGAGAAAGCCCAATTCGCATCAGCCCAATTTAAGCTGTTCCTAATTCGGAGTACAATTTCAATTTCAGTTGTGTTCTTCCTTTTCTCCGAAGCTGAAACTGTTCAAAAATCTATGCTCCTTCGTTCAATTTCAGGTTCGATTTCCTCAATCTTCCTATACGCATATATATATATGTACGTATATATAGATGTGCATATGTAGATATGGCTAGTTGTTTGTGTAAATTGTGAATGTATACGCAAGCTCGCAGGTATATACATGTATACAGAAGATATATCTATGATGTATGTATGTATGTATGTATGTATGTATGTATGTATGTATGTATGTATGTATGTATGTATGTATATATGTATGTATGTATGTATGTGATTTTTAAAATTGATTAGGTATAACCGAAGGTATTGTAGTAGATCTCTTCCGATTGGTTTTTTCCTCCACCGAAAATTCTATTATCATGTGATTTGTCGTCTCAACTTTGGAGAAAATGTGTGATTCTTCCTTGGTTTTCTGTCGCTCTGTTGTGTGTGTGTGTGTGTGTGTGTGTGTGTGTTCGTGATTTTACTCTGATAGTGTAATGAATGTATATTTCCGGCGTGTAGGATTTGAGTTCGAGTTTTGGCTGACGAATCGTAGCGTGTTCTACTGAATCTGAATCGGAAAAAAATGGTTTCCTTCGAGATGAACGAGCGAAAAAGTAAGTTCAGTTTCCATTTACTATGCCGATATTTATTCAGTTAATCGTACACGATATTTTGCTTGTTTGTTGGCTGGTCATGTGCCAGGACTTGTTTTGAAAAAAACTGTATCGTTGTAATAACATTAGGATTGCTTTGTGAATATTACTGCTCGTGTGGAAAGTGCTTTCGGCGTTTTAAATGATTAGTTCTTAACTTATAACAGCTTAACCTTAATAGATGGTTTCATATAATTGTTCCTGGCAATTCACATTTTCGGTTCTTCATTTCATTTACCAATGCTCTAAGTGTACTATACTATAGAAAAAGCGCTTTAAGCCATTGTAGCGTAGTGGGGTTTCTAATTAATATATTTCTTCCCGGGTTTTCCAACAGAAATTGGACTTGGTTTGACGGGATTTGGTGTCTGCATTTCACTGTTGGGGATCATTATGTTGTTCGATAAGGGACTAATTGCAATAGGAAATGTAAGTATACTGTTAAATCGATTGTCAATTTGAATGATTTTCATCTCACCTATCTAATGTTGTCCCGTGCTACACTCAAAACAGATCCTCTTCGTGTCAGGGGTGACTGTAACCATTGGACTCAAGTCAACCATGCAGTTCTTTATGAAACGCTCTAACTTTAAGGTTTATTTTACAACATGATAAAACTATTTGCTTCCCGTTGTTACTTATTTTAACTTTCGTTCATTGTCATATCAATTTGCAGGGGACAGTTTCATTTGGTATTGGCTTCTTCTTTGTTATCATTGGATGGCCAATAATAGGAATGATAGTTGAGACATATGGATTTGTTGTGCTCTTCAGGTTTGTTGTTGGTTATGCATATCGGATATTTGGTTCATCTTTCAATCTTCTTTGTTTAAGGACGATTTTTAACGTTTTATTCCTTATTTGCAGTGGCTTCTGGCCGACACTGGCTGTTTTTCTGCAGAAGGTTCCTGTCATTGGTTGGCTGTTCCAGCAACCTTTCATCAGATCGGTATGTTTGTATGGTCATCTATCAAATGCTTCTTCGAATGTTTTGATTAGTGATTTCTGATATTAGACGCAAGTATCGATGCAAAATTCTGTGGTATGGCGTTTTGGTTATATTGGTATGAGTTCATGTCTAAAATAATCATGTTCAAAATTTGAAAGTTGCATTCTGAAACTTTTGATAAGAAAATTTTCAATGTTTCCCATACATTGTTTGTTATTTTCATTACTCCATACGTCAATGCTCTTGATATGAAGATACATCGTGCCTAATATGTGCCAAATGTTTTTCTTACATTTTTTTCTCAAGATGCATTTATGATTACAATGGTTCACCATGTTGTAATGCCGAATGGTCATACCTTCCGGCTGATTCATTACTGCTATTTTGTCAGTCAACTAGCTTTACCCTGCCAAAGCCTAATAGATTATGTTGAACGATGTTTTGAGGTGTTGGTAGTTCTTCTGCATTCTATGTTGTTCTTTCCTTTACAAGGCCAGCTTTCTTGTAAAATATCCTGATCGAGTCAATTCACCTTAATTTCACCAAAATCTGCTCCCCTTGTTTGTAAAAGGTCACATGTTCTTTGTTTGAATTATACTATACAAATGTCCTTAATATATAATGGTTCAAATGGCAACTTATGTTTTAATGCTGTTTGCAGTTTTTCGATCGCTACCGTGGAAAACGAGTACCAGTGTGAGTTTCGTATAGGACAATGCAAGCAGCAGCACATTGAACAACTAGAAGGTGTTGTAAAATACTATCTGACAGGAATGGGCATGTAAACTGATTCCAGTATGGTTTTCTCAGTTGGTGATATAGAGGCTTACGTGTAGAGTTTTTGAACAATCTCTACTCATCATTGGCAAATAGAAGAGTCAAAAAAAATTCGTTAGAGATTTTAAACCGGTCCTCATTTACGAGTTTAACGCTCCAATTACCCTTTGATTTCCCGTTTCTTAATATGAATGAATACTTTTACGAGTTTAACGCTCCAATTACCCTTTGATTTCCCGTTTCTTAATATGAATGAATACTTTGTTTGTCGTCTAGAACAACATTTAACTGGTATGAGACTCTTTTCAAAGGTATAGCAGAATCGATTCCTTGCATTTCCCACTTTTAATTATGCAAGTGTGCTCGTGTAACTTTGGATGTTTAGTGCTCGTGATTATTTTTATCTTTGAGCTACCCAGACAAAGTTCTTCGATAAAATAATCTATCGAGTAAACAAATCCAATTAAAATTACAGATCCACGGATCATTATAATAGCCATCGGTTGTACTACGAAAAGTGCAAGAAACAAATAATATTATTCGACTTTACGAGACTCAAATTATCTAATTGGACTGGTAAAAGGTCCAGGCCAAGACGAGATCATTCTTCATTTATTATGCGCTGACTAAAAGAAGATGAACAAACCAAACATTAAGTAAAGTCTAATTATTTAATTAATGATAGTTAATGTTTTCCAAGCAAACGAGTCCTAAAGGCTAAAAGAAATGAAAATGGTAAATAGTTGAAGAGAGTACAACCGATCCAAATTAGGAACAACCACCCTCGATATAGCATAAGAACATATGTACTTTAATAGATTTTTCACGGGGTCATAGACCTATCCCTTGGAGGTTCCCTCACATAGTCGGTTGGAAACGGGCTCCTGCTCCTGCTTCTACTAGGGCTTCGAGCCCTAACTGGAGAAGGGCGACGCCCTGGACTTTGGCTTCGGCTCCTTGAACCATATGGTGATCTTTCCCTCACTGGACTTCCACCGCGGTTCCTTGGCCCATCATATGCTGGGGAGTGTGAGTATGATCTCTCTCTACTGTACCTTCTCTCGTACGGTGATACAGATCTGCAAATATCAAAAATATACTTAATCGAATTGTGCTAAGCAGCTAAGAACACTGTAGCTCACCAGTGCAAAGCAAATATACTCTTGCAAGCCGATTCTATAGGGAGGATGTGCATAATTGACAAGATTAAAAAGGGAAATAAAATATAAAAGACGAGAAACTAAACAGTACCTAGAGTATCTTCTCTTGGGAGGAGAATAGTAGTCATGGTTGCGAGAATGAGACCTTCCATACCGTGGAGGTGGTGAACGAGAATACCTGGGAGAACGAGAATATCGTGGAGGGGATCGCCTTCTATCGTAATCACTGCTTCTGCAAGTGAACACAAACAAAAGGAACTAGTCATTTACGATTTACTATCTCAACATGCAAGCAATACAGAACAGACCACCATTTCAACCGGTTTCCTTAAGCTGGAGGCCATATTCAGCTTAAATTACTTACGATCTGCATATGATTCTTGTTAGGCAGTGTGTTTTTCTTCAACAAATTATTCTTTATCAAAATTAATTGGATTTACATTTCAAGTTCAGAATTTGTGGGACATTAATAGTTTCAAACTACAAATTAAAATATCATACAAAAAATTCAATACTGTTCAAGAAAAAAGTTATATGTACAAGCAGAATTTACCTTACACTCCTTTCTCGAGATCTCATTTCAGTTGGCTTCTTCCTATTTTCCTCAGCAAAAACAACAGTGAGCTCCCGACCGTGCAGAATTTGACCATCCATCTGATACTTAGCTTCTGCAGCATCGGCTGGGTCCACATACTGGACAAATCCGAAACCTCGCGGATTACTGCATACAAATCCAAAACCTCATGGGTTATACATCAACTGACAAATATACACCAACCAAAGAAGCAGGGGGAGCTATTTTTTAAATAATTATTCTATAGAACGCTCTAAGACGGGGGGAGTCTGCTTAGATGTTGAAAATGAAAGATAAAGCAGTCAATAATCCTACAAAGTTCCTAAAGAGTACTCATCAAAAGAACTGCTTAAAGTAGAATTATATTGAAGGTCACGTTTAAGCGCATAATCAAGCACTTAATAGCTGACCTTTTAGAGTGATAATTTAAGATAAGTTGAAATCCTTCAAGACTTGAAATCTTGATATCTTCACATTCAAACAAGAATACTCCCAACCTTCACTACCATTTACATCATCTTCAACTCTTTATTACTTCATTCACTTCAAGAGACCACAAACTATTACTACTTGATTGAAGTCTTCACTTCATAACTTTTACTTCACTGCTAAAGCTCAAACATTTCAATACAGTATCGAATTTAAGAAAATAAAATACAGACAAGAGATTCAAAGCACGAACCATTTAAAAAAAAAATATCCACATGCATTGTTTTAGTAATGTGATAAAGAGAAAATAGAGAAGTTCAATTGAGAATTCAAGAAAGATAAGAACAACAATCTACAAAAACCTCACCCTGTGTAATAATCTCTAGGGAGATAGATGTCCTTAAGCGGGCCAAATTGGCCGAATGGTCTCCTCAAATCTTCTGGCCTGCAATCGTGCCGTAGGTTACGAACTAAAAGACTAGTTGGAGCTTCTTCCCTACCATAACGTCCTCCTCGTGGAGGACTTCTTCCTCTTCTACCATAACCTCTTGGTGGTGATGGGGTGTAGCTCCTTTCCCTCATTTAGACACACTGCACAAAATCACAACCAATGCAAGTATTCAAAGCGCAGTTAGATAACGAAACAACATTACCCAATAAAGGGAAAGAATAAAAGATAAGTAATATGCAGTCATTCGACTTCACATTGTCAAATATTGCAGTGAATTAAAAAAAACTAAAAATAGAAAGTGAATTGGGAACGAAAAGAGTGATCAGCTAGAGCTAATACATGATAAATAGCCATCATATAGGCAATCAAAGTATTCTAGTCATCATATCAGCTCATATATTCGAGGAATAAAATCAATAAAAAATCAAAAAAAAATAAAAATCGGAAGTTAATAGGAAACAAGCCTGATCAGCTAGAGCTAATACATGATAAATAACCATCATATTGGCTATCAAGTTATTCTAGTCATCATATCAGCAATCGTATGTAGCGGGGGATAAAAGAAACGAAAAAAAAAACGAATAAATAGGAATGATGAAGAATGATCAGCTAGAGCTAATACATGATAAATTGCCATCATATCGGCTATCAAATTTGATTGAAGTCATCATCTCATTCTTAAGTCGCCCACAACTAATTAATTGTTTTCAATTGAATACTAAATACAACGAAATAACCACTAAAACTGATATTGCAAACCCTAAAATCCTTAATTAAGATCTCAAATTAAATTACCAGAACAATTATCAACAAAACGTTCGAGAAAAAAAAGGAAAGAGAAACGAATCGGAGAATGAAGAAAGTAAAATCCCTAATTAACAAGGTACGCCTACCTTGTGAATTAGGGATTTTACGAACATGAATTCAAACTGGAATATTCGTATGAAACTAATAGAACTCAATTAAGTGTACCTGAAACCAATAGAAAATCGAATGCTTGAAACACCGAGAGAGAGAGAGAGAGAGAGAGAGAGAGAGAGAGAGAGGGAGAGTGCGGCGGACGAAGTAGAAAGTGAATTTAGCGCAAGAATGTGCTAGGTTAAGTGGCAATTTATAGACGATTTGGAAGCGTGGATATTATTAAATTAATGACGTCAGCAATAAATTATGTGAAAATAACAATATAATAAGTTTTATATAATAATTTTGCTTATAAATAAAAGACGAAAATTATACTTTTAACATTGAAAACAGTAAAGAATTTACCGATCAATATTTATTCTCAATAAATTCAATTCAAAAAAAAAATTTATTCTCAATAATCTCCAGGGCTTCCCCGCGCACAGCCGTTTGCCCGCCGCCGACAACCGCCTTCGAAAGCCCGATACCTCGTCGGCCGTCTGCATCATTCCATAAGTGAGTGTGTAGGTTTTTTTTATTTTTATTTTTCGAAATAGAATTTGGTGTTTGAAATAATCGATTTCCTGATCCTAAACAAATCGGGGAAAAACAGTCCGAATTTTGACCTAATTTTACGAAGAAGACGATCAAAAACTGATGCAAAAATCGGTGCTTTATTCATTTGTGAAATTCGGTAATGAATTTTCAATCCTATATCGGTAGTACCAAATTTAAATCCCATCTCACCGGTTTCTTAACCCTGCACTACTGATTTTTTACGGCAGAAAGAGACTATCGGATTCAACTATCTGCATAGTTGGGTACAAGTCACTGTTGTGATATATGTGTAATTTTGAAGGTTTCTTTATGAGCAATTATTTGGTAGAGTAAGGGTTTAAGAAAAAAACATGATGTATGTTGTGTTGAGTTTAAGAATATTCAAATAAGTTCAAGTGGTAATATTTCCGCCACATGCAACGGGAAAGGGGTTAAGTCGAAGCAAATTAGGTGCTTATATAATTAAGAAACGTAGTTATGCGTTTTGTTCTGTGCTGTCCTTATCTAAGACCTATCCGATACCCTGATGTTCTGAATTGTATAATTCTCCAGGTGTTGGATATTCACTGAAGATAGTTAGTATTGTTGAGAAACTCGTTAAGTTTTTAAGAGCACAAAAGAAGTGATATGGAAGAGCAATTTATACTGAGAGTCCCACCATCTGTTGCCGAAAGAATAGAGCGGCTCTTAAACGACTCTGCTTCTTCTTCTGAAGACAAGTCGTTGGATTTGTCGTTTTCTGGTATATACTACAACTTTTCTTCAACAATTCAAAGTTTACCCTATTTTGGTGATTGCTTTTGTTTTAACACTCTGTTCGTTTTTGGTTTTCTATTGATGTCTCGTTGCCCTGTTTCTTTACTTCAGATGATGGAAGGACTGGCACATTTTCTGTAGGCAGTGACCGTTTCTCTGCATCCCTTTTGGATCTTCCCACAGTTGTGGAGTCGTACAAAACTTACGACGACAATGTGTTGATCAAAACTGCAGACATTGGTCAAGTAGGCCAAATAGTTGTTAACCAATTATTCGAGTAGTTCTGTATAGTTCTTTCAGCTGTATATGGTCGTGTTAACTGTCCAGAGTTGTGGCAGATGATAATGGTGAGTGAAGAGGGTGACATTGTCCCAGAAGCAGTGGAGTATAGACATGGACTTACTCCACCTATGAGGGATGCTCGAAGGCGGAGGTTTCGTCGAGAGCCTGATTTGAATGTAACCTCAGATTGCCTCTAACTTTACTTGGTTATCCCTTTATTAGTTTTCGTACAAGCTCTTGAACACGATACACTAATAACTTGTTCGGTTGCCAATTCTTGATTTTCTTTGTAATAGTTGTAACTTTGACCTTACCGGTGCATGCAATTTACTGTCTTTTGTTGTTTTTGCAGCCTGAGGTTGTCCGTCGTGTAGAGAAAGATTTGCAGAACATCATGGCTGGTGGAACAGCCGAGAATTTCGATATCCTTTTAATTTTGTTAACTGTTTATGTTTGTCCATGCCCCAATGGGTCGGTAACTATAATCATTTCCTCACAGTGGAAGAAGGTAACAAAATTGATGTCCCTATTATTCCATTGCAAATTCAATTCTCGTGACTTTTCGTCAAATAAAAAGTTGGTGTTTTTTTTTGTTTTTTTTTTTTTTTGTTTTTTTTTTGTGGAATGTCAAATTGATACCCTAGTTTTGCATCTCCAAAAATCATACAACAACGTAAACTATGTCACCGCTATTTGTGTTTTGACTTCCCGGTAGTGTAGAACTTTATCACCTAGTGTGTTACCTTAATGTTTCAAATTTCATGGGATGGTTTCTATATATTTTAATCGCGAATGCTCCTTGACTTGTGAATTACGCGTTGAAATGGCTGAGCCAGAGGAATATGGTGATGAAAATTCGCGTAGTGCCACCACTAAGAAAGTGGTTTCTGCACCTTCGACAAAGCCTGACGTGCCTGAAGCTAGTACGGCTGGTGGTGAGCCTGAAGGAAGTGATTCGGATGAGTCTGATGATTCAATGTGAATCAAGAGTCAGTGGAAATTGGATATATCTTTACTGAATTATTTTTCTTGTGAAGTGGATCTATTATGGCATATTGCTTATTAAATGTCATAACCAGACTTTTCGTTTGTTGATCCTTTTTCTATTGAAGTTTCAGCATGTTGTATCGTAATATACGTGTCTATATCGTAATTTTGGACTGTTTATTGTCATTTTTTTATTTGAGAAATCGAAAGGTTCCTTAAATTATGATTTTGATCAACAGTTAGCAATATTCGACACTTCAATGGAAAAGGAACCCGAAACTGCTTCGACTTTACGAAACCCGTAAAGTCTTTGCAGTTCTGGGGTGCAAGGCCTGGAGAAAACCAACCATACGTTTGGGCTATTGTTCAACGTAATTTAATTATTAAAAAGGGTTAGATAGGAAAAAATTGTTCGGCCCAAACTAGGTGACTGTTTTTGTGCTCTATAATATTCTTGATGTTGTCTAAAAAAAATAATTTACTAAGATCAAAAATAAAAACCGATAACTGAATCACTAATTTTTACGTATGTTAATTTGACAATAATTTGATTTTTATTAGAAGTTTATTTAAATTAAAATTTTCTATAAAAATAGTATTACTTACCTTGATTTTTATTAGAAGTTTATTTAAATTAAAATTTTCTATAAAAATAGTATTACTTACCATAACAAAAAAAAAAAAGGAAATTTAGGTAGCCGTAGCCCGTAGCAGTATCAAACGAAATGAAAAACAAAAAAAGTTAAAATGCTTTGAAATCCACACTTAAATAATTGATATTTAAATATGAGCGCTGACCGCTCGTGCCTTTTTCTTAGCAGCATGCAATTATGTGCTTAATCCAAGAAATACTGATCACATGAAAAAAGTGGAGACACTCACTGTTGTTAGTGGGAAAATACTCAGCCTAATGCGAATCTTGGTTTTACTCATAAAGGTGTTTGAATCTTGTTTCCTTACACTCCTCTCCCCCATTATTACATATCTTGTTGTTCCCTTTCAAGATTCAATTTTTTTTCTCTCTTACTTTCTTTCTCATGATAAAGCGCCTCTCTCTCTCTCTCTCTTCCCAAAGATATTATTATCACTTTCACTATCCACCTCAGATTTCATCTCTTGAAACCCTGATAAACTTAGTGAACCCATTTATTTTTATATTTTCACCTCAGAAATGTGTGTTTCTTGGATTATCAGTCAGCTACTTCTTTCCGGGCTGTCTGCTAAGCTTCTGAAAGGTAAGAGCTTGACAAAATGCTGTCAGCTGAATAAATACTGCTGTGTTCCTCTTATGCTACTGTTTCTTTGTTTTACTTTTCCTGGATTAGTAATTTCTGATGATTCCACTGTGGCCTCAGTACCTCTTGGTTTTGAGTTTAGTGCTTTGGATACGGATAAGAATTGGGTGTCTGAAAATGGGGTTTTTGCGTTTGGTTTCTTGAAGATAGATGGTGATGATTTTGATGAATATGTGGTTGGAATTAGGTATAACTTAGGGGATAGAGCTGCAAATATGCCTGTTTGGACTGTTGGTGGTGGTATGAAGGTACCTTTGAACACAACATTTAGGTTTGATTTTGATGGGAAGCTAATCTTGATGGATAACTCAACTGGAACTCCTCTGTGGAGTAGTAATACCTCGACTTTGGGTGTTCGAAAAGCCACTCTTTCAGACAGTGGTAACTTGGTTCTTTTGGGTAGCAAAGATGAAGTTTTGTGGGAGAGTTTTAGCAGTCCCACTACCACTTTGCTTCCTGGGCAATCGTTACATTATCCTCAAACCCTAAGAGCTCCTTCGACAAGAACAATCTTGAGTTACTATAATTTGGCGATTACCCGAAACGGAGAACTCGTGCTCGTGTGGGAACACAATGTGACCTATTGGAGGAGTCACTTTAGCTCCAAAGAAGCAAGATTCGACTCCAACGGTGTTTTGGGGCTGTACAATGATAGTAACCAGGTTGTCTGGTTTGCTTCGTCCAAGGATTACGGAGATGCTTCTGTCACTTTAAGACATCTCAGAATTGACCGAGACGGGAACTTGAGGATTTACTCTTGGGATAATGGGAGCCGTTCATGGAGGTCTGTTTGGCAAGCGGTTGTGGACCAGTGCGATGTGTTTGCTTCTTGTGGCTTGTATGGTGTTTGTGGGTACAATTCGTCGGGCCCCGTTTGCGATTGTTTGTACTCGGATTCATTAGAACAGGGGGTCGGTGGTTGCAAGAAAATGGTGGATTTGGAGAATTGCAAGATGCACACTAGCATGTTCGAAATGAAACAAACGGTTCTTTACGGTCTTTACCCCTCGCAGGACGTCGAGTTATATTTGAGTGAGGCAGCTTGCAGAGGGTTTTGCTACAACGACACCGCTTGTGTAGCTGCAACTTCCATGAATGACGGGTCGGGTCGGTGCACCGTAAAACGTACAAGCTTTATCAGTGGGCACAAGACTCCTAATATCCAAGCTGTGTCTTTCTTGAAAGTCTGCTCCGTTCCGCAAGCTGCTAATCAGCACGGCAATACAGAGTCGATAGCCTCGTCTCGTGGTCTTAAATCTGGAAATATGAGCACTAGAAAGTTAATCGGAGCTATAGCATTGATTGTTATACTGACATTGTTGGTGATTTTGAGTGTTCAGATTCTACTGTTTTGGTTTATGTACCGTAGACGAAAATTTAAGGTTCGGACAAGGATTCCTTTTGGGAAGGATGCTCAGATGAACCCTCATTACAGTATTCTGATACGATTGTCGTTTGAGGAAATTAAGGAACTGACGAACAATTTCGCAGATCAGCTCGGAGCTTCGGTTTTCAAAGGATTGCTTCCAAATAAAACCCCTGTAGTTGCCAAAGTTTTGAACGATGTGGTTGTGTCGGAGAAGGAGTTCCGAGTGACTGTTTCTACACTGAGTGGGACCCACCACAGGAACCTAGTATCTGTAAAGGGCTTTTGTTTCGAACAAGGAAACAGCAAGTGTTTACTGTATGAGTACGTTTCGAATGGCTCTTTGGACAAGTGGCTTTTCGACAACCCCAAGAAGGGCTATAATAAGGAGCAGATTTGGCAACGAAAAGTCGATATTGCCCTTGGGGTGGCTCGTGCAGTAGCTTACCTTCACTCGGAGTGCCAAAAGTGCATAACCCACGGAAATTTGAAGCTCGAAAATGTGCTGCTGGACGAGAATTTGGCTCCGAAGGTGACGGATTTTGGAATCCGCGATTTAGTGACGAAGAATATTCCGGGTTCATCTTCGTCTTCTTCCGAGTCTCCGTCGGAGCGGGATATATTCATGCTCGGAGAAATATTGCTTCAAATTGTGACATGCAAGAGGGATGTTTTAGGAGAGAACATGGGGAGAGTACTTGACGAGGTAAATCAAGAACGTTGTAATAATGATAATTTGGAGGCGATTGAAAGGATAGCGAGAATTTCGTTTTGGTGCATGCAGAGTCAACCGTTTTCGAGACCTTCGATAGGAGAAGTTGTGAAGGTGCTCGAAGGAACACTTTCGGTGGATAGGCCTCCGTCACGTGGAGCTTTTTGTAGGGGCGAAAGCGTCATTATCGAAGGAGAAATTGTGAATGAAATAGAATTGCAGAAAAACTGACATACATATGTGATAGAGAAAGTAGTCAAGTTTTGGCAGATAGAATTCTTCAATGTATCTGATTTCTTCTTTCACTTGTCTGTGTAGACAAATTGTATTAATTTCAGCTAGATAAACTCGGTTATTATTATGATTATTATTAATTTATTAGCTCGTATAATTTATATAGGGTAAATTCCACTTTAATCACTTGTACTTTGACTTGATATCACTTTACACCGTTCTACTCTTAATTGCATTGCATCGATTAGCCCCCTTTACTTTGGTTCGATTTAGTTTGATTCATGTTCCACTTGACCAAAACTCGTTTGCGCATCACTCGACTACTTATCAAACCAATCTCGATTTCGATTGGTACCCCTGTATATAATAAGAATGTAAAAAAAAATAAAAAAAAAAATATAATTTATTAAAATTATAAATGGAAATTAAATGAGAGATATTTCAGAGATGAAACATACATGCATTGCAGCATTGGTGGAGTATTTCAAGCCACAATCTTTATCTCACTCTAAACCTCTTCTATCCTATCTCCAATCATTTACTACTTCTGCAACTAATTAATTAATTCCCCTTTGAACATCAATAATTTTGTGATCTTAATTAGTACTTAGTAGCTGAACAAACAGTCCGCCATGGAAGCTCTCAGAGCTTCATCTTTCCCATCTTTTCACCCCCCGCCGATCTCAACAAAACTTCCCAGAACCATTTCCGAAAAACCCAATTTCCACATTCCGTCAATTCAGCAAATTACGACGCCTCTCTCCAAAATTCGCAGCAAGAAAGCGAATTTCAAGGTGTTCACAGCTATTTCTCCAACCGCCGCCCCATCATCAACTGAGGAAGAATCGTCATCGCCTGATCAAGAAATCGATTCGGAAAATAATGAAGAGAAGTTTGATTGGTACGCGAATTGGTACCCAGTGGTGCCGATGTGTGATCTGGACAAGAGAAGGCCACATGGGAAGAAAGTAATGGGAATGGATATAGTGATTTGGTGGGATAGAAATGAGGATGCATGGAAGGTGTTTGATGATAGTTGCCCTCACAGATTGGCTCCACTTTCTGAAGGGAGGATTGATCAATGGGGCAGGTTGCAGTGTGTGTACCATGGTTGGTGTTTTGGTGGTGCCGGCGACTGCAAACTCATTCCTCAAGCACCCCGTGACGGCCCTCCGGTGATTAACTATCCCGATCTTTATTCCCTCCCTTGTTGATTTGGTGCTTTGTGATTTATTTTGCTGCAGCAAATGATATTTACACGTTTTTTGTTAGTTATTTTGTGATAGTGTGAATATGAGATTAATGGTGAAAATAAAGAAGTACCGAAAGAATTTGAAGCTCTGTTGCCATAAAAATTTGAAGACTTTTTGCCGGAATTGTTCGTCCACCAACGTGATAGTTTAGGAGTGCGAAAAATAATTGAAGCCTTGTTATCGGGAGTTAAAGATGGTGTTGATGTGTTAACTTTCTGCTTTTGTGTGAACGATTGTTAGAATTTCTGGGATTTTGATGTACCCAAATATCGAAGACTGATAGTATTTTCCACTCGTGCAGATTCACACTTCGAAGAAAGCTTGTGTAGCTGTTTATCCAACTTGTGTGCAAAATGGCATTCTTTGGTTCTGGCCAAATTCGGACCCACAGTACAAAGATATATTATCGAAGAAAAAGCCTCATTACATACCAGAACTTGACGACCCAACATACACCAATTCGATGATAGCCAGGGATATACCTTACGGGTATCATAATCTTTCCGGATAATATGCTCATCTTCTGAATTTCTTTGCATGTTACCTAATGATTATGTGAACAAGAGAATGATAACAAAAAAAATCCGGGGAACAAAAGAGAAAGAATGACCTGATTTTGTCACAAAATGGAATATGTACTGTTTATTTTCTTAACTGAATATTTCGTTATTTGCGATCAATTAATCATGACGTCAATGATTATAAGTACTACTAGCTCTGTCCCATGTTTATCATTCTCGTCTCATGTTCAGACTTCCAAAAATAGGACTTTGTTTTCTAATACTAGAGTTAATTGCTATATATATTGACTTTTTTCAGGTACGAAATTCTGATTGAAAATCTTATGGACCCTGCTCATGTACCATATGCACATTACGGCATAATGAGCGCTGGAAAAACGCCAGAGAGATAAGTAAATCTATGCAAGGCTTGCTTCTAACATATTATCTTTTATAAACGATTAAACTCCCATTGCTAACAGCAAATATCCTGCACTTTGAAGGCCGATAGAGAAGGTGGCAGACCCCTCGAAATAAATATTCAGAAAGTAGATATAAATGGCTTCACCGCAAAGCAAGTTTTCGGGGACAACTATTTCATTCCACCTTGTCTCTACTATGGATTTTTCAGTCCAGGTGGGGCTCAAACCGTGAAAAAGACATCATCGTCTGGAACCAAAGATGTAATAGTTTTAATCGTGTAAGAAAAAAACATTTTGGAAGTTCATTCGCATTTTATCGAGCAGTAAATATTTTCTCTCGTGCAGGAGGTAGTATCACCTATTCCACCCCAGAAAAGAGCGCTTCTTATTTTCTACTGTGTTCCAGTTAGTCCTGGTAATAGCAGATTGATCTTTGTTTCGCCTAGAAACTTTGCTGTCTGGATTGAACGGATTTTTCCACGCTGGATATTTCATATTGGACAGAACTTGATTCTTGATTCCGATCTCTATCTCCTTCACGTAGAGGTGAACTTAAAGCTCATTATTTTTTTGTTATTACATAACTTTACATATTGTGCTTTAAGTAGATCTGTACGAGATTCAGGTATTTAAAAAAAAAAAATCTTTTTTTAGGAACGCAAGCTGATGGAAGTTGGGTCTATCAACTGGCAGAAATCTTGCTTTGTCCCAACGAAGGCAGATGCACTCGTTGTAGCCTTTAGAAAGTGGTTAAATAAATACGGAGGTACTAAAGTTGATTGGGGAACTAAATTTACCGGGCTATTACCCCCCACTCCTCATAGAGAGCAGCTATTTGACAGGTACGTAAAAAAAATCCCATCTTTAAACACTCAAAATAACTTGCTTATTTAGCTATTCAAGAAACCGTGTTAAATTTTTCGATTTTTTTGAAATGTTGTTAGGTACTGGTCGCATACGGTGAATTGTAGCAGCTGCAGTGTTGCACATAAACGTCTAAACGTGCTTGAGATTGCGCTGCAAGTTTTTTCGGTTTTTGCAATTGGAATAGTTGCAGCTGCCAAACAGGGAGTTATCTCTGTTGCTGCAAGATACGCTCTGTTTTCAGCGGCTGTGTTGTGTTTCGTGGCTTCGAAATGGCTGTCGCACTTCATCTACAAAACTTTCCGCTACCATGATTATGACCATGCTTTCCGCTAAGGGCTTGTTTGGTTAGTAGATAAGCAATTGTTGCTGTGAACTTTTCTGGTTGTATCTAATAGCAGCACAAGAACAAATCCATTCTTGGAACTTAGTTTAATGCATATAACCTTTTTTATATGTAATATCTTTTAATTTATATATTCAACCAAGAATGTGAGTCCCTTTTATTATATTTTTTAAAATAAAATTGAGTGTTAAATATGTGCAAAATAAGTATTTCCACATTATCATAAGAGAGAGAAAGTATACTGGAAATTACAATCTTCTCGCATTATTCACAATTCAGTTGTTAAAGACTTAAGACCAGTTCATGTAATTGTTGCCACAAAATTAATTAATGATAGAAATTGAATTTGAAAAAGAAAAATAAAATAAAAATCAGGCTGACGTGGCAAGGACTGGCCTCAAGAAGAAGATACTGAAACAGAGTGTGGTGACAGCTCACTTCATCATCACGTCTTAATTAATTGCTGCTGCTTTACGCCAATTTGTAGTCATAATCTGCTCACAACTCTCCCAAATTTTCCCCTTCCATTTCTCTCTTCTCTGTCTAGCCAATTAAAGATCCAATCTTTTCTCTCACTAACTGTTCAATTCTCGTTCATCAAATAAAGGGCATTTGTTTCTCTCTCTCTCTACAAATCAAATCTGCTTCTTTTCTTTCTTCTTCAGTGTACCCACACTACCCACCATTGACCTCAAGATCCAATCTTTTTTTTCAACAAATCATTTCCGATTAAACCCTAACAATTGCTTTCTCTCTCTCTCTATCGACTTCAATTTGGCTTCATTTTCCTTCCTTTTTTCTCTATCAATCAAGTCCTAAATCCCATTTAGCTGTTAAAATTCAGTCTGTGGGAAGAAGGGCCATTTGCAGATCACAGGTGATTAAGATTTGCTCTTTTTCTGTATCTTAAAAAAGTCGATTTCAATTCAGTTTCTCCTGTTTCAGCACTCAGATCCACTTCAATTCGGCAAAAGTTGTAGCGAAGATTTCACCTTCATGAACGCAATTTGAGTAGATTAGGGTGGGATTCAGTGTTCTATATTAAAATGAAAGAACTGAATCCAACTGATCCAATAGGGCAGAACATAATCAAGGCAATCAGCAATGTGTGTTTCTCTGTGTTCGTATTCTCCGTGCTCATATTTACCGTAATTGCCATCACCTACCAACCCCCTGACCCATGGGAATCCTCCAGAGCCCTAACCAAGATCTTCACCGACTACGAAAATGCCACCTTCAAAACCGACTCTTCCGTCTTCAAAACCGGTGAGGACATTGCCGCATCTCCGCTAGCAACCCCTGCCGGATCACTGCCGCCCATTACCGAATCCACAATTAAGCAATCCGAAGACCAAATCACAACAAATTCGACCTTAAAATCGGGCTGTGAGGATTCATCTACGCTGAACTGTTCGGACCCACGAGTTTTAATCGCGATCCAGAGGTTCAATTTGAAGACTTACAAGGCGATTGCCTTCTTGGATTATCAAACTCCGGTTAATGGGTCTAAACCGGATGAGTGTGACGTGGCGTGGAGGTTTAGGAACAAGAAAGAGAAGTCTTGGAGGAAGTATAGAGATTTTCGGAGATTTAGGATTGGGATTAACGACGATGATTGTTCGTACAAGGTTGTTCGTCCCGGGAGGTGGCATTCTGGTGTAAACGCGCGTCGCCCAAGAACTCAAGTTATTTCTGATGGGAAAGACCGAACGGCTAAGATTGCTCCACCTGTTAAGGATGACGAGATCTACGACACGATTCCCGTTTTGGGATCGGATTCGGCTTTTAGGCAGGGGAGGTATTTGTACTATTCGAGGGGAGGTGATTATTGCAAAGATATGAATCACTATATATGGAGTTCTTGTGTGCTCTAGGCGAGGCTCGGTATTTGAACAGGACATTTGTGATGGATTTGAGTGTTTGCTTGGCTTCTACTTATACACAGAGTAATAAGGATGAAGAAGGAAAAGATTTTAGATACTACTTCGATTTCGAGCATTTGAAAGAGGCGTCTCCAATTGTGGAGGAAGGCGAGTTTATGAGAGATTGGAAGAAATGGGAGAAGACTCGAAAGACGAAAGTTCCTCTCAGAAAGGTTGCGAGCTATAAAGTGACTCCGATGCAGCTGAGGAGAGATAAAAGCACCATCATCTGGCGGCAGTTCGATGCACCCGAGCCGGAAAACTACTGGTATAGAGTTTGTGAAGGTCCAGCTGGCAAGTACATCGAGAGGCCGTGGGAATCTCTTTGGAAATCAAAGAGATTGATGAATATAGTTTCGGAGATTAGTGGGAGTATGGATTGGGATTTCGATGCTGTTCATGTTGTTCGAGGTGAGAAAGCGAATAATAAGATGCTGTGGCCTAATTTGGATGCTGATACTTCGCCCGATTCTCTAGTTAATAAACTTCAAGGGACAATTGCACCTTGGAGGAATTTGTATGTTGCGACAAACGAGCCCTTTTACAATTACTTCGATAAGTTGAGGTCTAATTACAAAGTTCATTTGCTCGATGATTATAAGTATTTGTGGGGAAATACGAGCGAATGGTATAATGAGACGACTGCATTGAATGGTGGAAGGCCTGTTGAGTTTGATGGTTATATGAGAGTTGAAGTTGATACGGAGGTGCTTTATAGATCGAAGACGAGGGTCGAGACATTCTATAACTTGACCACAGATTGCAAGGATGGGATCAATACATGCTAAACAGGTTTAAATTGCATTTACATTTTAATTAATGGTATGACTTGTCACAGTTTCGTCGAGGTTTTATATGTTGTATTAATATAGTAGATGGTATTCGCCATGTATCTGTACTATATGTTTTGTTTTCTCTGTAGAACCCTTTTGTTCGTTTTTGAAAATCGAAAAGATTGTTGTTGCTTTCTTTACGGATAATGTTCGTGCATCTTACATGAGGCTGTGCCGTAGCCTTGCCTTATGCTGTGTGCAAATTTGTTGAAGTGTGTGTGTCATGAATCTATGTCAAGTTTGGAGGGCTGTCAATTGGTAACATTGAGTATTAAGATACTGATGACGTGGATCATTATATGACAACAAGCAACTAGTTGTTTATACACAGTAGACAAAGTTAGTGTAAGAGAGCTTACTGGTTTGTTATGAATACCAAGCTGTGACCATGTTATCACCTTAAGTAGTTTATCTTCCATAGTTCCATAACCCCCTTCAATTAGATCAACCAAACAACACATAAGTATATTCTTATTACATCTAAGTGTGTTCGATTGAAGTCGCATTAATTACCGTTTTAGCCTCTTACCGGGGAGTGCGATAAAAGCTTCCGCCCGACTAGCCATCTCAGCCTTCCGTTCATGCATATCAGAAACAACCAGTACATCTCCCACTGCATGTCATGATATCTGCCACAAATATATATATACAGTTCTTTATGTTAATTTAGTGACAATAATTAATTTGATATTTTTAATAACTTGAAAAAAAGAAAAAGGTAAACCGTAAAAGTCATATATACCTCTATAGGAACAAGAGCTGTTGGGATAACTCTGGCCAAGAATAAGGAAAAATTGAAAGGTAAGATTTCAATGATATCGAAATTTCGTTACAACATAAACGAAAGGCAGTCGTCGAATATATTAACGATGTTGTTTACCAGTGGTTGACCAAGATCAACGGCTGCATCACTGAATATGTATGTTTCTGTAACCAGAGTTACTTCCACAGAAACCACAAACCCTTTTGAAGTTAACCATTTATCAGTAAAAAAAACTGATTAGTAATATATTAACAAATTATATTTTATAATTTATTAGTTTTTGATATATTAGTAAATATACTAGATTATTAAAAAGAAAAAAAAAAAAGGTAAGCAAACAGCCAAAAAAAACTATCTTTGTCGTACCAAGAAAAAAGAGGTATTATGTAACATATATAAACTCGAACTTCAAACGAACTAATAATAATAAAAAAAAAAATAATAATGGAAAAATCGGATTGTCCCTCTCGGATCTACAAATCAAGCTGTGATGGTGGCGGTTCGACTGGGATTCCGGTTACGAACATTAAATCAACATCACCATGATTCTGTGCGATCAAACTATTTCATAGCGGATTTGGATCTTGTTCAAGTTCGATATATTTCAATCAACGGTCGCTTATCCCATATTCTTTTACGTACGCCCAAAAAGACGACCGATGCCCCTATATATAATTAGTAAATCATAATATATATTAGTTAAAAAAAATGAGGAGAAAATCTACCGGTCAATTCATACATGAACTGGGTAAAAATTAATAATTAGCTACAAGAGCATATTTTTTTTATTGCTACAATTTGGTCAATATGTCACAAGAACGAACGTTCAGCTACTAATAAAGATTCCTTCAAATACTTATATATATATAAGTTGGTATATGTATATATGGACTTTTGGGTGTATGTTATAACAAGTTTGTTGCATTTTCAAATCAAAATTAAGGGCTGATCTGTTTTCTCTACCAATTCCTTCATCGAAAAATCTTGTTTCGTCCGCACGTAGTAATTTAGGAGTTGTGTTTTAATTCATATCCTTCATGCAAGTTTAATTTCCAACAGGCTTGAAGATGGTTATCTCGTAATTGTAATGTTGATGATCGAAGTCAAATTTAAAGGTACGTTTTTCGAGTATGATCTTTTCATCTTTTTCAAACACTTGTATCTACTTCATAAATCATAGAAATATATATATATGTGTATATATATATAGAGATACATATAATCTGCATATATGTGTATGTCAGTATGTGCATGTGTGGGGAAGAAAACCCTAGCTAGCAAATGAAAATTAATTCAATGTTGGTTCATATATATACATGCATGTGTATCTGAGTTTCTGATGAATCTCATTTAATTTCTTGAGTATTGTCGTCAAGATCATCGATAGTGTGACTTTGCTCGCTCGTGCAACAGATACAGCATTGTACGTGTGAACTTGTGGGATGAATTAAAATTTAAATAATTAAAATTTAAATATTTTCATGCCTTCCAACAAACTTTACAGGTGATTGATTAATTAGAATTCATTGCTGATTTCTTCTTTTGTAATATATCAATATTTATGTGAGTGGTGAGTGAAATTGACAACATATATATACATTCAACTTTGGTAGTTGAGGCAAAAAAAATTAGGGCAAAAGTCAGAGGAGTTAATGCTGTTGAATGCTGAAATGGTTTTCTTTCTTGTCTTGTTCAAATTTTAATTTCTTACTACATATGTGTAATTAATCTGAAATATTTACTCTTTTTTTTTTTGTGCATGTAAAATAGTCTCTTTTTTTTGTTTAATATTATTTATTTTTTTCCTTATATATGATGAAATCCACTAGCTTTTAATTAGGACTCCATGTTAGGGCAATATAAGTCTGCAGATAATAAAATGAATTTCATGCATGTACAAAAAATTAATTTCCAAGCTGCAGAATTCATGAAATATATAAATGATTGATGAAGAAAATATTATATTATGAAACTTATACAGAATCAACTAGCTGCATGCATGTTCAAAAATACAAGTACTCTTAGCCAATTATTAATATTATTAATAATAATAATAATACGCAGATCGATCAATTTCATCGTATACGTGAATCGACCGATCACAATTATATTAGGCAGCTCTTTTATTCGATCACGAACTATCTTGGCCGGTACGGTCATCATGCATTATCTTGAATATGCTGAGGAATAGTAGCTATAGTGTTGAACATATCATCATTAATCAACGAATTCAAGAACGTCGAAAATGCATCTTCGTTACAACTACTCATCATCATATGATCATCGTCATCATCAATAACTCCATTAATATCTTCATTATTAATCATCGTCTTCGATGGTCCATCGTCCACTTCAACAAACTGCTCATGATGAATATTAATACTGTCCATCATTCCATCTCCAATTTGAAGATTCGTCGAATTTTGAAGGGCAAATGGGACATAATTAATATTCGAAACCGAGTCGTACTGATGATCAACGACTGTCGAGGAAGAACTATGATGATGATCGAGAAGTTTGTTTTTGACGATTTCGGGTTTATTAGGGTTTAATGAAGGTAATAAGAAAGGCTTGTGAGTTTTAGGATCAATGCCTTGGCTGATTAACTTCTTGCTGAGGTGAGTGTTCCAGTAGTTCTTTATCTCGTTATCCGTTCTTCCCGGTATTCTTCCGGCTATTAGAGACCATCTACATGCATTATTATTTACCATTTAATTATTCATTTCTTTTTATTGACAAAATTTATTTACCAATAAAAATGAAGAAACTTATGTTTGCAGAAGAAGATACATATATATGATGATATCATATAGGCAACAGGTGAAACCTAAAATTCAAGAATGTCTACAGTAGAGCTAAGAATCACATATATATAACACTATATATCTTCTTCATATATATAGTAATAATAAAGATAGAAAGAAATACCTGTTGCCGAGGAGGCGGTGGAGGCGGAGGATGAGATCTTCTTCATCGGAGGAGATGTGGCCGCGCTTGACGGAGGGGCGGAGGTAGTTCATCCAACGGAGGCGGCAGCTCTTACCGCAGCGGAGAAGACCGGCCTTCTTGGGGAGGGTGCGCCACCTCCCTTCACCTTCCCTCTTTATGTAATCCGACAGAAGCTTGTCCTCCTCCACCGTCCAAGGTCCCCTCTTCAGCCCCACCTTGCTGCAGCACGGCGTCGCCGCCTCCACCTTCTTGCCGCCGCCACCTCCTCCTTTAGGTGGTGGTGGTGGGGTTTGATTTGATGATGAAGAAAGTGATGGACTTCTCATTTGCTGTGTTGTCGCTCTCACAAGTACACATACATACATACATACATACATATGGTGGGGGGTCTGAAGAAATTTACTTAATTTTCTTCCCTGCTAGCTTTTATTGATGTTTGATATAATTTCTCTATTTATCTTGTTAATTAAGATGGTATTTATTATACGTGTGTGACTATGTTAATCTCACCTGTGAGTGTATCAAATTCTTGGTTCAAATCATAAAGATGTGTAGTACTTCTGTTGATTGATTGTGAGTTGAAAAGGATGACTGGCCAATAAGATTAGCAATGCTAAATATATTTGCCAGAAAAAGGAAATAAAGTGGGGTTTATATGAAAATTTTAGAGGGATTTAATTTTTCTAATTATGCTGTGTAGTATCAAGTGTGTATGAGTCACAGATTGAGAGATGTATTAGAGTAAAACCTGGGAGTCATTCATCGCCCATGGTTTCAATTTTGTTTTCATTTTATTGGAACCTTTTTTCCATTTTTCAATATTTGTTATTGGGAAATATATAAAATAATAATAATAATAATAAATATTTTTGGATTCAATACAACATGTATTTAAAAAAATAAAGAGTACGGTATATAAAACAATAATTTAGAATATATAATGATAATAGTGCAGTTAGGCAGAATGCCAGATATTAATAAATGCATGGAATTAAGTAATTCCGGCAGATATTAAGTGGTGGTACAACCTAAAGATATTGGGATTTAGTATAACCAAACGTCGTTTATATAGGTGTACAATTTCGAAACACAATTTAATATACTGAATCATAGCCAGAATTCTCTAGGGGGCGACAATATTAGACTAGTCGAAAAATAATAATTATCTACATGGTGAGGGCATGGCCCCCCGTGGACCTTAGATAGCTCTGCCACTGAGACTCGCACACAACCGTCAACCGGAGCTAGCTGAACGGCTTTTCTCAGCGATGAGCTGTCAGGTACTTCTTCTTAGGTCCCGGATTGGTTGCAGCATAAACTGCAAAGAATAGTTTGCATCTAGCCAATCGGATTTTTTTGCCATGGAGTGACTTGAATGAGCATATATCTAAAACACGAAAAAAGGTTAGTCTTGGTTTGAATCTCACCTCCTTATTCCTCTGTATTATAAATGTAAATGCAGTTAAATGGACATAAGCATAAGGCGAGTCATAGTATTCACTTCTGAGGGAGTTCCTGATAGCTGTCGACGCTTTTGTAAACGAGAGATATTTAGTTGAGAGTTACCTTTTGTTAAGTCATACGGGCATCGTTTGGAGTCTAATATGTTTGTACTTCTGCTCTGTATTGAAAGATCTAGCACTCTCTGTTAATCCTTTGGACAATACCTGTGTCAGAGCATCAACACCTTCTTCTAATGCAGCATCAATCTGCCAACAAAAATAGATCCATGTATAGATATAAACTTTTAGTTTGTTTTTTGCCACATGGTGAATCTCGATGAGGAGGGTTTTTCTGTGTGACGCAAACGGAGACCTGACTAAAAGAAAAAATGTAAGCACGTGCATACCCTCTCTCGAGCTCTTGCATTGAACTTTTGGAGTACAAATGCTTTTGGATCCATTTGACCAGGAGGTCGCCCTATACCTAACACAAGAATTAGATTCGATTTGGTTACGTTAAAGATGCGCCGAAGACCGCGAGGCAGCAAAAGTTTAAAATTAAGGATTTGAACTTACCAATTCTTAACCGAGGAAATTCACTGTTCCCATGAAAATGATAGATCACGCTTTTCAGCCTAGTAAGATTATATGGTGCAATCCAGATGAGTCATTCATCTCAACCAACAGAAAGAAAATCCCATAAAACAAGTCAATATTCTCAAATTCTAAATCAAAATTGGGATGTGAATTAGAAATTTCTGCAGGCCATTTTCGACAAGCGTACGCTAATCTTTCAGGCAATTCGAACCTTATTGCTATTACAGCAATAATATGATGTCAATAAGTTCATAACTATCAAGAACATTAAAGTACTATGATAATCAGACCAATGAAGAGAAATTCGCAAACTCGTGCAGGAAACTAAAATAGCTTTAGAAGAATTTATTCCAGCCAAATTAAGAAATGCTGATACAGCAGAAATGGCTATCTTTAGCAGTCAAAACAGAGTGAGGTAGTTTTATTGAATGGACAAGTTGAAATATTTGCAGCCATTGAAAACAAGCAATCTTTAATGAATCTTCTTACGTGAAAAATATAAGAGGTATCTAATTAAAGCCTATTTGAACATCACATAAGCTCAAGTAGAGCTAGGAACTTATAAGCTCAAATTTGTTAGTGTTTGGATATATTAAGCTACAAGAGCATATAAGATATTTTTAGTTTTACTAGTATTGACACTTATGTAATATATATGGTCCAACTAAAGATATTTTTACATCACAGAAAATCAATTGAAGTTTTGAGCTTATAAGGTCCTATTATATACTTTAGCAGCTTATATAATCCTTTTGCACTTTGTGGAATACTTTGATGTTTTAACGTTCTCATAAGATGTTCTCTTCTTAGATGTTTTAAGAATCTAATAAGATATCGCAACAATCTAACATGAATTACATAACAGGCTTAACCGCAACAAGTACACATCAATCGTCAAGAACGGTCACAGAGTGGAACTTCAGCAATATCTTAGGCAGCAAGAAAATGAAGAACCACAGAATAAGTAGCCAGGTCGATAGGCGACCAGTTAGCTTAGTCTCTTTACTACATAACTTCCACATGCTAAAATGCTTGTGAGGAAAAGGAAGATTTATAGTCTACACATTTAGTTTAAAGATGAGAGATTGCATAAAGACATTGCTAGATTGAATATGTGTTCCTAGTCAAAAACCGACATACTTTTAAAAGAACAGAAAACTGCAGCTGCTAGGTACGAGATAGAAGTCCGTGGAAGTGAACGAACAAAGCCCCCCAGTCATAATGATGCAACTATCCTAGAAATTCAGACATAAAGTTTCTACTTTCTTACCCGTTATGACTGCCATGGTGTCCCTTGGGATGAAGACGAAGAACCCCACAAGGTAAATCCTTGTCGTCATGAAACTACAATAATGAAAACACCGAACAGTCATAATAACTCAAGAAACGTGTCCAAAACCAGTCAAAAAATGTGTATGAGTAATCAATTTGTCCATCAGTACGTACCACTAACACTCGATTAAGAGGAAGCTTATAATAAGCTGCAAGAGGACCACTCTGTCAGAAAAACAGAGAAATAATTCATACATGCACACATAGTAAGAGAAAAGGGGAGCTTTCATTAAGAAATCTCAATTAAATGCGTACAGATTCACCGCTTAAATTCATGTAAGTCTGAGGTTTGGCCAAGAAAACTGGAGCCCCGTTGACAAAACCTGAAGAAGATATCCAAAAACCAATACTCATTATAAAAACAAACTGGTGAAAGTTATATGTATGAGAATGTATAGCAAATAATAACAAGTGATAAACCTTTTCCGAATATGGACTTGCAGTGGACAGAATCCATCGGGATCCCTTGTGATTTGGCAAATGCATCAATCATTTCAAAACCCACGTTGTGTCTGGTCCCCATGAATTTATCCCCTGGATTGCCCAAACCCACAAAAAGCCATGGCCGAGGATCGGAAAACACAGTGGCGGTGCAAAAGCAGCGCTTGGCAAATCTGCTGGGAAGCATAATTTACTGTTCTGGTGTCGAGGGGTGGAATGGAATACTGAGAATTGGGGGAAAAGAGAAGAGTTTTACGGATTCGAAAAAAATCTGCCCTAATTCAGAAACATTGATCTCCGAAATGACTCGGATAAATGGTGAACCGCAAATTTTCTGGTAGGCCGGATCGACAGAAATCAAGCGAAGCAGTTTGCCGCGGAGAAGAATGAGAAATGTTGGGCCGAAATCAACCGGGTCGGGTCCATAGAATGGGCCATATCAATATCTATCTCAGTATCTTACCAAAATATTTTTAAGCCCAATATCTCATCAAATCATCAAACAGAATATATATACAGGGTAAATTACAACTGCCGCCTTCAGGTAAAGTGTAAATACAAAAAAACCCTTATTTTTTAGAAATTACATCCAGCACCCTGTAGTTTGTAAATTTCTTACATTCAACCCCTACATACAACATAAGGGTGTAAATCTACAAAATACAGGGGGTTAAATGTAATTATATAAAAATGAGGGATTTTCATAAATAAACCTTGCCTTAGGGAGGTAGTTGTAAGTTACCCTATATATTCTTATAATTTATAATTTCTCTTGTGTAGATTGCGGAGTCGAGCTCGTTGAATATGACTTGTTCAATATTGTTTAAATATCTCGACTGATTTGCAAATAATTAACACAAAGAATTTAATCAATTATACAAAAATTGAAAGTATATGTACATAGACAGCAAAGTATTTCATTCCCTTCATCAATTTAACATTTTGCCTCTAAATTAAAAGTTAAAGGACTTACTATTAACTTCTATTTATTGGTACCAAATTATTTCACATTGAAAATAGCATTTAACAAATGCCAAATCTTAATACCAAATTGGCAAATTATTTATATTTATAAATGTATGTTATATTTGCATATATCATCTATTTCAATTTATTTATATGTTGTTCATTTAACGTTTTAATTTATAAAAATGTATTATATTTTATATATGTCCTTTTTCTAATTATTACTAATTTGTTTATAATTTTTTAAAAAATAAGTAAGCTATAATATTTCATGCAATAAAAAAATGTTATGTTAGGAATTTTACACCGAAGAACTATTGTGAAATTAATTATGGAGATCAATGATTAAAACAAGATAATTGGTATGTTATAAGGGAATAAAGTGAGATCATAGTTTAAGATGGACGGACTATTTGTGAGATACAACATTTAATTTAAATCCCAAACGGTACCCAAACCCTTTAATTCGATGGGCCTTAAAGACTAATTAATACACTCACACATCTACATGTTATTTAAATGGGTATTACTAATTAGTAGCTTGTAGGATTTTGGGCTCAACGAATTTATCAAAAATTCGGCCCATTAACCTATTTCTACCCGATGCAGCTCAATCGAAACAAATTGCCACTTGCTCACAAAGCTTGTATGTATGATGGAACCCCTTCGATCTTTCATCGTATCACCACACTTAATTCACGTTGTCTGCTTCCAACGGCACCTCAGTTGGTCGTGACGATGGTTGCCATCCCTTTTGGAGACCGTCTTGCTTTTCTCATCTATATATTCCGAACTATTGAGAAACAGAGATAAGGGAGTGAAAACACATGCAAATTTGAATATGTCCCTTCTTTCAATTTTTCATTATTTGGCGAGTGAGTTTTGAGTGCAGGAAACACGGAGTTCATATTTGGTGAGCTCGGCGTGAGAGTGGGTTCCAGTTTGTGAGTTCAGTCAAATCTGATGTATTCGAAAGCTTGTGCCAGTGAGTATGGGACTCAATTGTGACTTAGAAAATTGAGGCTTTTCCAATCTCATCAAAGCTTTTATATGTTAAAAAATAATTAAATTTGTTTTATTAAATATAATGTTTCCACTATTGACAAATGTTTTACCTTTACACCTCTTTTATATCTCATTCAATTAATTAATTAATATTATGAGTAATTAACATTTATTTTGCCGCTCATATAGAACCTAATTATTACAAACCAATCCCACATTGTATCCTACTATGCCCTAATCATCATTCCCGTCGATTTTATTTTCCCTCCAAGTTTCCCGCTTCCAGAAGCTGTACATCGCCCTTCAAGTACTTGTACATTCGCCCACGATTTCGGATAACCAAATAGACGAAAATACCCACGCACTCGTTTCCGCGAATTTGTGTTTTACTGTGTGCCGGGGGACACACTATATAATCGCAGAGAAACACACCTTCACTACGTGTTCTGTGTGTGCGAAAGAGAGAGATAGAGAGAGAGAGGCACATACGGACATTCTAGAGAGAGAGAGAAACAAGGGGATACATACAGAGGCGCCACCCCTAGCAAAAACCAAAAACCCTAGTCTATCAACTCGGCGAATGGATTCGGTGTCGACTCAGGTCCAGCAAGCCCAACTGGCGGCGGTTATGGGTCCCGACCCGGCGGCGTTCGAGAATTTAATATCCAATTTGATGTCCTCCTCCAACGAACAGCGATCCCAGGCCGAGTCAATCTTCAATTTGCTCAAACAGAACGATCCAAACTCGCTCGCCCTCAAACTCGCCCACGTCCTTTCATCGTCGGTGCACCTCGAGGCGCGGGCCATGGCCACAATCCTCCTCCGGAAGCAGCTGACTCAGGACGACTCGTTTATATGGCCCAAACTCAACGAATCAACCCGTTTCACAATCAAAAGTATTCTGTTGTCCTCAATCCAGAACGAGGAGTCGAAATCTATCATCAAAAAGCTCTGCGACACCATCTCGGAGCTTGCATCTTCGCTGTTACCCGAAAATCAGTGGCCTGAACTCTTGCCCTTCATGTTTCAATGTGTAACCTCCAATTCCCCAAAATTGCAGGAATCAGCATTCTTGATGTTATCCCAATTAGCCCAATTCATAGGAGAGATGTTGATTCCTTATATTACAGAGTTACACAACGTGTTTTTGAATGTGCTGACTAATTCCCGCGACCCGGATGTCAGGATTGCAGCTTTGAGCGCCGTCATTAATTTTATCCAGTGCTTGTCAAGCTCGAGCGACCGTGACAGGTTCCAGGATTTGTTGCCGTCTATGATGAGTACGTTGACTGAAGCATTGAACTCGGGGCAGGAAGCTACAGCACAGGAGGCTTTGGAGTTGTTGATTGAGTTGGCCGGGACTGAGCCAAGGTTTCTGCGCAGGCAGATTGTAGACATTGTGGGCTCAATGTTGCAGATAGCCGAGGCCGAGACTTTGGAGGAAGGCACACGTCACCTGGCCATTGAATTTGTAATCACTCTAGCAGAAGCACGAGAAAGAGCGCCTGGGATGATGCGGAAGTTGCCTCAGTTCATTAGCAGGCTTTTTGCGAATTTGATGAAGATGCTTTTGGATGTGGAAGATGATCCAGATTGGCATAGTGCGGAGGATAAGGATGAGGATGCAGGGGAGACAAGTAATTATAGTGTAGGGCAGGAATGTTTAGATAGGCTCTCTATAGCGCTTGGTGGGAATACAATTGTTCCAGTGGCGTCTGAGCAGTTGCCTGCTTATCTGTCTGCTCCAGAGTGGCAGAAGCCTCATGCTACCCTTATTGCTCTTGCGCAAATTGCGGAGGGTTGTTCGAAGGTATACATACATTATTTGTCGTTTGCGATAGTTATGAATTTGATGCTAACCATTATCATTTATTAGTTATTTAATTGCTTTATGGAATATTGCCTTACGTGTATAAACGGTAGTTGGTTTGCACTCACAAAAGCTGTACTTGATAAAACCATTTACGACCTTTATGTAGATTCGGCACTTCTCCTACATATTTTGTATGTTTCTTGTTTGTTTTATTCGGTGCTCATGTAGGTTTGTGTATGACGTAGTATCCCTTGTCCGAAAAAGTATATATGCAGGAAAATTAATGGGGGATGAGTATAGTGCCCATTGTAATATTTATTTTTACTTTTTGACTGTTTTTTTCGTCTAATAATTATTGATTATAGCCACATAACCTACGCATTCTCTTTATGTTGTAAATTTTTAAGCTCTTTATGGTATGGGCTCTGGTTGATTGACTGGTATTTTACTATATTAGTTTGACGCCATCTCTTTTAACTTCGATTGGTTGGACGATTTTATGGGAATATTTACTTGGTCAATGAAAAATTGTGATATCGTGTTAGTTATTAGTTAACCAAGATGTCAAATTTGTTGGCGAGTTTGTTTGCTTGCAACTACAGTTGGTTAACATAATTTCTATTGTTTTATTATTTTAGGTGATGATTAAGAATTTGGAGCAAGTGTTGAACATGGTTTTGAGTTCATTTCAACATCCTCATCCACGTGTGAGATGGGCAGCTATTAATGCAATTGGTCAGCTGTCAACTGACTTGGGTCCAGATTTGCAAGTGCAATACCATCAACAGGTCCTGCCGGCACTTGCTTCAGCTATGGATGATTTCCAAAATCCTCGAGTGCAGGTTTGTAATCTTGTTTGTTCTCTTAGTGTTGAACTCAACTAGTGAGAGTATAGCTTATTGCTCGGTTTTAGTATGTTCTCTCTCCCCTGATGGATATCATCCACCAAGTTGCTGAAAGTTTCTAGTTATTTTCAACATCTAATTTGTTGTTAGTATAATGGGTGAGTCATATGTGTATTGCTGATGTTGTTTAAGTTTGTTTCTATTGCTCGGTCCTTGTCTTAATCAGGGTTCAGGTTTTGATTCTGGAACTTTGTGCCATGTCATAATTATAGACTATTCGGCTCAAATAATAACTATTTTTTTCGCTTGCAGGCACATGCAGCTTCAGCTGTGCTTAACTTTAGTGAAAACTGCACCCCAGAAATTTTGACTCCTTATTTGGATGGGATAGTGCACAAGTTGCTTCTACTTCTGCAGGTGCAGTTGCATATAAGAATGAAATATGTTATGCAAGATATGCATGTATATTATGCCTATAGTAGATGTAGTTTATTGTAAACTGATTTATGTTTGGTAAATTGCAGAACTCCAAGCAAATGGTGCAGGAGGGTGCCTTGACTGCTTTAGCTTCAGTTGCCGATTCGTCTCAGGTACACAACCTTTAAAAGGTCCTTGAGTTGATAATGTATTACATTTTCGTGTATACTGAGTCGGTGATCGGATTATGACAGGAACACTTCCAGAAATACTATGATGCAGTTATGCCTTACTTGAAAGCTATCTTAGTGAATGCAACAGACAAGTCTAACCGTATGCTTCGTGCTAAAGCTATGGAGTGCATCAGCTTGGTTGGGATGGCTGTTGGAAAGGATAAATTTAAGGAAGATGCTAAACAAGTAAGTGATAAACATTGATCTTCTGGTTGTTGCTTTCTTGAACCCTAATTAGAATTTTTCGGTTATCAGCATCTGATTTAGACTCATTGTGATTGTCAATATGATTTAATTTCTTTCATTTTATGCAAGGTTATGGAAGTGCTTATGTCACTACAAGGGGCGCAAATGGAAACAGACGATCCCACTACCAGTTACATGCTACAGGTATGTCATTGTCCCTGGAGGCTACGGATTCCAAATGTCTTCAGATATTTGCATATCTAACTTCTCAAAAAAATCTCTCTGTTGTACTGTAGGCATGGGCAAGACTCTGCAAGTGCTTAGGGCAGGATTTCCTTCCTTACATGAATGTGGTTATGCCTCCATTGCTTCAGTCTGCTCAGCTTAAGCCTGATGTGATCATTACATCTGCTGATTCGGACGACGAACTCGATGAATCTGATGATGAAAGGTATCCTTTATTTCTATATTTCGTCCTTAAAGGATCTTTCATACATGGACGAAGTTCAACTCTACGAAATATACTTTTGTAATCGAATTTGTTGTCTTTTTTTCCCTTCTCTTTCCTTCTCATGATGAAATTGCCAATCCTCCCAAATAAAAGCATAAGATTGATGTTATGAGCATATCTTAGCATCCTAGTTTCGTACCTTTTTTTCCTTTTGACCAAGTTAATTAGTTAGATTTGTGGTTGATAACATGTCATGTGCTTGTATGATACTATTTATGTGATTTAGTGTCAGAACATTGATTAAAAAAATATATTTTTCCAATAGCTTTAAATGCTTGGGCAAGTGTTATATAACAAGTCAGTTTTCTGGTTCGTATTCCCACTAGTCACTTCCTTTCTTTGTTAGCCATAAGAGAACTCACTAACTTAATCAGCATCCGTTGGAGACTATTATCTGTATTCATGAAGCTCCCGTTGTATCTGAAAATATCTTTGAACAGATAAATTGCGTCACATAAAAGATTGAAGTAACATTGTTGTGTGTGAACCAGTTTGCCTCTTCTTTACTTTGGTTACTGGCTTTAATGTTATTAATGTTGAAAGCATGCCTGCATAATTATCATCTTTCATGTAATTGTATCCAAGACTAATGCGCGATTCTACATTTTGCAGCATGGAGACCATCACCCTTGGGGATAAAAGAATTGGGATTAAGACTAGTGTTCTAGAAGAAAAGGCCACTGCTTGCAATATGCTTTGCTGCTATGCTGATGAGCTGAAAGAAGGTTTTTACCCGTGGATTGATCAGGTTAGTGGGTGTTCATTGGTATTTGGTTAATGTCTTTGATGATAGATTATAACTTTGAAGTCTCATAGCTCGTTTTGATTGGTTTAGGTTGCCCAAACGCTGGTTCCTTTGTTGAAGTTTTATTTCCATGAAGAAGTCAGGAAGGCTGCTGTTTCAGGTAATACATGATTTGCTTAGAATGTTTGTCCTGGTACAAAATATTGAAGTTGCTAATGCATATTCTGTCTGTCCATTGTCTACTTCTAGCTATGCCGGATCTATTGCGGTCTGCTAAACTGGCTGTGGAAAAAGGGATTGCTCAGGGTCGTAATGAGACATATATTAAGCAGCTGTCTGACTACATATTTCCTGCTTTAGTAGAAGCTTTACATAAGGTATTAGTTATTGTAAATATTAGACATCTGTTTTTCACATTTTGTTGTTGGTTTTAGTTGTATCTGGGGACTGATAGCTATGATTATCTTGTCATGCAGGAACCGGATACAGATATATGCGCAAATATGTTGGACGCATTGAGTGAATGTCTGCAGGTGGGTCACTTCTTTCATAAATTAGAATACACATGTGTTAACCAATATTTCCACATGGATAGCGTGGTTGCAACTTATTAGTATATCAAACACAAGATTAAGATGTGAAATTTTGCTTGTAGTTTCTATATCTGATCCTTCACGTAGGTAGCAACTTTGCTCTGCAAGTGGGCCAGAAAAATAACAATTGAAATCTATGTTGTGTTTCTTGTCCTAAAATGCTAATAAGTTGTCTTCCTGCAAATGGTATGGTAAATGTACAATGATTTGAACTTTTTTGTGCGGTGCTTTTGAAATGCTAATTATGGTTTCTATATTTCGCCACTCGGTACTTTATATTTTGAGCTTCAGATCTTCGAGTGATTAGGTTTTATAATTGATATTGAGTCTTCGTTGTGAAATAGAACTGTAAGGTTGTGCTAAGGCAGAACCCAGTTTGTAGTTGGGAAAATATATAAATATGATTGCAGTAGCCTCATTTATGTGATGTAAGTTACTATCTTAAATTTTTTTAGTTTTATCTCGTCGTAATTGGAAATTTGTTCGAGTTCACTTTATCAGCTGCTGGTCCTTGATTCATCATTCACCATATAATATTTCTCTCAGATTTCTGGACCACTTCTAGATGAGAGTCAGGTTAGAAGTGTTGTGGATGAGATAAAGCTGGTTATCACAGCTAGCTCAGATAGAAAAAAAGAGAGAGCTGAAAGAGCCAAAGCTGAAGATTTTGATGCTGAGGAGGGAGAATTGCTTAAAGAGGAAAATGAGCAAGAGGAAGAAGTATTTGACCAAGTTAGTTGTTATGCTTTGATGATTTGGATTCTAATTTTAGTCAAATTCATTCAGTTGTTAAATCATGCCAAAAAGTTCCTACTGAAAGTTCTGAGTGTTTTTCTTTGGGTCTTGTTGCTTCAGGTGGGTGAGTTGTTGGGAACTTTAATCAAAACATTTAAGGCTTCCTTTCTGCCGTTCTTTGATGAACTGTCATCATACCTAATGCCTATGTGGGTGAGTCAACCTCTCTATTCCTTGTACTTATTATCTTCCCCTGTTTGTTTGCAAGGGATTGTCACGGAATTTCGATTCAGAGTACATAATGACAATTGGACAATCAGTCCATACACATTAATTTTGACACATCATGACAGAGGTTATTATTCCTGCAGGGAAAGGATAGGACAGCTGAAGAGAGAAGAATTGCAATTTGCATATTTGATGACGTAGCTGAGCAATGCCATGGAGCAGCTCTAAAGTGTGTACACATTTCACAAAACAAATACTGAATTTGGTTTCGGTCATGAAATTCTTATGTAGTTCCACCTTTTTTTATGTATGCTAGGTACTATGATACATATCTTCCTTTCCTATTGGAGGCATGCAATGATGAAAATCCAGATGTCCGACAGGTACGCAAAAGCACTTAATGTAGGATAGTAACCTAGTGTTAAAATCTGACTTGTGGATATCTGAATTGCCTTTGTTCCTCAGGCTGCTGTGTATGGACTAGGGGTGTGTGCAGAGTATGGAGGTTCTGTATTTAAACCACTTGTTGGAGGTAAAGTTTACTTGTATTTGAACTCGTAGAATCAAATTTCTGGTTTGATATCAGTAAACTGACCTCCTTTATTTATCTTGTTCAGAGTCTCTTTCCAGGCTCAATTTTGTTATAAGGCATCCCAATGCGTTGCAGCCAGACAACGTGATGGCATACGATAATGCCGTTTCAGCTCTGGGGAAGATTTGTCAATTTCATCGTGACAGCATTGATTCAGCTCAGGTAATTTCTCTTTTTTTTTCTTTTTCATTTTTGGTTCGTTTTTTGCTGTTTTAAGTGTAGAAATCCATTTTCATGTGCCATGTTGTCTTTAGGCTTCATTTGCCTAGTACATTTTTCTTTTGCTTGTACTGTCCTTTTGAATTATCACTTTCAGTGATGGCAACTTGTTGCGGTTGAGTTATCTTAAACTTCTAATTCTCTAAATCTTTGTTTTTAACTGTCATGCTAATATTTCTTGTCTCTCCCAATAATTGGTTGATTCTAACTGCAAAAACTTACTAATAGGTGGTTCCTGCCTGGTTGAGTTGCTTGCCAATAAAGGGTGACATCATCGAAGCCAAAGTTGTTCATGACCTGCTTTGCTCAATGGTTGAGAGGTCGGGACTCGACCCAGCTTCATCTCATTTTTTTTCTTTTTTAAATCTATCTTCATTTCTATTTACTTGCATCGCCAATTTTACTTATTGACCATGTTTGTTTTTCTTACTTTTTCAGTTCTGATAGGGAACTTTTGGGTCCGAACAATCAGTATCTCCCCAAAATTGTTTCCGTATTTGCTGAGGTTAGTTCTCTAAGCAATTTGATGACGTTATCAATATTCTTTTCTTACATCATTATAATCTCCTCTGAAAATTTGTTATGACATAATATTTCTGTTACAGGTTCTGTGCTCGGGCAATGATCTAGCCTCACAGCAAACATTTAGCAGGATGGTGAATTTGTTGAGGCAGCTACAGCAGACACTACCTCCATCCACTCTGGCCTCTACATGGTCTTCCTTGCAGCCTCAGCAGCAGCTTGCGTTGCAATCTATCCTCTCATCATAGTTTGTGCCAATCTTATATTTATTTGTTCCTCATTTCTTTCGGATGAGGACTCTTTTCAGCATTTCAGTTTGCATATGGTTTATGCGTCAATCAACCTGTCGTTGCGCGTTTGGTCTCGAGTGTGAATGCATTTTCACAAGTCATTTTGTCGATAGAGTTTGTATATTAAAAGATCTTTCTTGCTTTCAAAACATAATTTTGCTCTTTGTCCCCCTTTTTTGGTTGAGAGGGTTGGGACGTTTTTAACGACATTCATCCTGGGTGAACAGATCTCATTTGGCACTTGTGAAATTGAGGTTTGAGAAAGCAAACGATGTCTGCAGTTTTGTGAAATCATATGTTCCTTGGATGAACATATATGGTAATTTTATATTTTTAATTTGTCGACTATGAGTTGGGAATAATGGTTTTCGAGTGAGAGAATATAATACATGGAGTTTAAGGTTTCATCTTTTGCCTCTAGTACATGAATTTTAAGCCTCTTGTTTTTTCTCAAACTAACCGTATTTGGATCTTTACTCTGCGTTGTCGATTGTTATACGAGCATGAATGTTTAATCTAATATAGTTGGTCTTTGATCTTTAAACACAAGATTCTGCTTTGTAGGTTATTATAGGAGCATGAATTTTTAATCTAATTAAATTTTTTGTTTTGTTTTTGGTGGTTTATGTTAATATAGATTCCTGTAAGAGCAGCATGCTATCAAGTAATACAATGATTCCTGCAAGGTTTATGTCCAAGTGGCAGCCCCTAAGAAATTTCAATTTTTTTTTTAGGAAATTAATAATTAATTTATGAGAAAATTAGGCAGGCCTTCGTGACTGCAACTAAACTATATGCCAATAGTGATTTGACCAATTGGAGAAAGAAAGAAATATTATTAATTAAGATTCATCAAGCCATGATAAAAAGGTATAGGTTGTCTTCATCTACAATTACATTTGACTTTAGGCTTTGTTTTTTAGTCCCATTCGTATTAATTTATAGTACTTTCTTTACTTTGACAAAAATACCAGAATCTCTTAAGTCTTAACTCAAAAACTTGAATATATTATATTCTTTGCACACATAGTGGCCTACAATTTGTGGCATGATTCTTGAAAAGCAACTATATTCTGTTGGTTAGAGCAAATGATCCAAACTTGGTATAAATATAGTATGTCACACATAAATTTAGAATGTAGAGTTATGGACAAAAACATAAAAATAAAAATATAAAATTAAAGAACGTGTTGAGCAATATAGAGAAATGGGAATAGGCACGCCTTGCAGAAAAAAAACAAATAAACATTTAAACATAATTAATTGGTCATGCTTACGACTCACAGCTTTGAAATTTCAGTCAACTCTTTACATGGAACAAACTCTCCACAAAACCAGACAAAACTAATCAAGACAAATTACCCAATACCCATCCCTTCTATAAGAAACAACTCCTCTTCTTTACTTTCTTTTTTTAAGCCTCAATAAATATTATATCATCAATCAAAACAAAAAACATGGATGATCTTCAAATCCACAATAACCCCACTCACAAACCATTAATAAACAGAGTCACACACAAGAACACCAAGTTCGTCGGCGTGAGGCAAAGACCCTCCGGCAAATGGGTTGCCGAAATCAAGAACACCACTCAGAAGATCCGCATGTGGCTCGGTACTTTCGACACCGCTGAGGAGGCTGCTCATGCCTACGACGAAGCCGCCTGCCTCCTTCGCGGCTCGTCCCGACGCACCAACTTCTCCAACGGTGCTGCCCCATGCAATCCCGCTCTCTCCTTGAAAATCCGCAACCTCCTCCACCAAAAGAGAACCCTTAACAACATTAATAAGTCCACCACCCCTAATCCTAGTCCTAATCCTAATCCTTGTACTACTAATAATCAAGAAACCATTATGTGCCAAGAGTGTTGTTTCTCCACCTATTAGTTCCACCAGTTCCCAAAGTAGCAATGTGGTGGAGGCCGGATATCCCGTTTTCGCTCCGTATAAGCCGGATTTGAGTTATTTCGTGGGAGGATACGAAGTGGGGTCCACTCATTTGGATCATCATTATTGTGATCAAGCTTCTGCTTATTATAATCAGGTTGATTTTGAGAAGATGTCTACTCAAGAAGATGGCTTCTTTGACGCAAAAACAGAAGTTGAGGTTCAAAATGAAACGGGATTTACAGATTTCGAACGGATCAAAGTCGAAAGACAGATATCAGCATCGCTCTATGCAATGAATGGTGTGAGTGAGTATTGGGACAATATCAACGAGTACTCCAATGATTCTTTTTGGGATGTTACAACTTTGTGCCATATGTTCTGTCCGATTTAAAACTGTTGTTTTAACTTTTCGAGCGGATCTTATATCTATCTTCGCCAAAATCGTATTAGGGAACAAGTGATTCTCTTCTTCTTCTTTTTGTCTTAAAAAAATTGTTTAGATATTTCATGAAGTACTATTAGGGGATGATCCAATGTGCACTCATCATTAATTTAGATTTGTTTATTGGACACAATTGAGATCGAAAACAGGACCTTCTGCTTGGATTTTGGCCAGCTTATTGAAAGATGAAGTTAAACTAGAAAGCATATTCATAATTATGTTTTTTTTTTTCTTTTTTGTTTATATCAATGTGAACAAACCTAGTACAATCAATACATTGTTCGTGTACTATGTTCAACACGTACATTTGTCATCTGAATAGTGATCTGGAAACTAGTAGAAATAAGTAAGATGATTACGGACTCGTGTGTTTGTATTATCATATCAAAATTTGTACGTTTTGTTTTGGCAGTTTTCGTAATTTCTTGTACGGACCGTGCCATTTTAAACATAACAACACTTTTCTGCCGTCTAGTTCTTGTTCTACTTAACATTAGCTCCAAGCGTTGGACAAGAACAATATTTAGAATTTGTTGCTGAAATATAAGTATATACTAAAAATAATAATGCGAATATTCGACTTTCTAATATGCAAGTCTTTGGCATGTCAACTGTATATATATGTATAAGGTTAAAAGCAAGTAAATTGTTCCAAAATCAGAAAGTTTTGGATCGAAATCGGTTCACGGATTTTTTTTTTATTCACCATGATATAAAATAAATATTAATGTAATTTTTGAACTTTTTTTTTTTAGATTTTTTTAATTGTATTTAAATCGGAACAAAAATCAAAATCTCATATATAATTTCAAAAACTAAAAAAATAGGAAAAATCGGAAATCACAACCTTTTAAAATCAGAATGAAAAATAATGTTCCAAAAAATTGAAAGTTTTCGAATTTAAATGAGTGGAAACGAAATTTAATATATACAAAAACTTTTCAGATTATTATTTTTTTTATACATATTTGTGTTATAGTTGGACAGTTTTTTAAGAGAGATGAGAAACTCCAAACTGAAAGAAGTAGTTACATCCCAACAGAATTGTATTGACAACAGAATTCAATAAGTAGAAGAATTCCTTGTAAATTAATATGAAAAAATCTGCGGGAATAAAAACTGAATAGGTTTAATAAGTTTGTGTTTCCTTGAATACAAAGAGGAAATATTTGAATCTAATTCTGCTGCCACAACTCAGAACTCAGAACTCAGAACTCAGAATTAAGTGCTCTGCTTTCACATACATAATAATACTAACCAAATATTTGTTATGTTTTTCTTCCCTTTCAGTTTCATTTTCTCCGTAGAATTCACTACTGCTCCAGACTTCATATCCAAAGAATGAAAACAAATTAGTTTCGCTCGTTTACGTTTTCGATTTCCTCCTCTATTCAAC